CTGCCTCACCAAATAGTGGGTTTGCTTGAGAGATATGGTTTCATCATATATATATATATATATATATATATATATATATATATATATATATATATATATATATATATATATATTATTTGGATATCTTGTTTCACACAGCTTCTTTGCATCCATAACCATTTACTTTGTTTCTCAATTGGTAAACAATGGATGATTATATCGAAGTCTCTGAGCCTTTACTTTTACTCCCTCGGAAATAGAATGCAGTGCCTCACCCCATCCCCTTTGCAAGGGACAATTTATTCACTACTAATAGATTTTGGTAAAAACTTATAGGCTTGTAAGCTTTTGAAAACGTTGTCAAATCCACAGATTTATTTCATAAAACTTGCTATTTTATTAAATATATCAATCAAGCACTATAATTGAAGACATTTCCTGATTCTCAAAGAAAATGTACATCACCCACTCACCTTGAGAGAGTCGAATCATACTTTGTAATAAGCGCATGGTTGTTCGAGCAGCATTGCGTGTATCTGCACTTCTTTGTGCACGGTAATAAGCCTGAAGAACTCTACAAGTATAAAAAAAAAAAAAAAAAAAAAAGTAATGGCTAATCATTAAACAACATAGCTGGACTGAATGGATATAACAGCAAGTAAATGAACCTCCTCAGATATCTACTCGTGGCATCTCCAATTATATGGTGGCGTCTTGTGAAAGAAAAAAAGAGGAAAACTAAAAGCATAGAGAGAAAGTAAAAAAGGTTAAATGAGGGAAAGAGATGGCAGGGAATGAAAGGAGAATGCAGAGATTGGAGATAGTGACAGAGTGAAAAAAGAAAGAACAAAGATCAGAGAGAAAGAAGGATAACAATGAAATGTGACAGAAAGAAGAAATAGTGGGGAGAGAATGACGTGAATGGAGAGAGATGATGAAAGGAAACAATGAACAGGGAGAGAGAGAGAAAGGGGAGAGAAATTAGAGAAACAGAGGAGAAAAGAAAGTGGAGATTGAGAAAAAGGGGACAGAAGAAACAGAAAATAAATTTCTTTCATCTCTCTCCTTGAGAGAAAGTAAAGAATAGAAAGCAAAAATAGAATGTAATAGAGAAGAGAAAAAAAAGAAAAAGGACAAACAAGAAGAGAAAAAAAAAGAATGAAAGATACATAAGTCGGGGAAAATGTGATAGAAAGAATGAAAAAAGAGGAAGACAGAGAGAAGGGTGAAAAGGAGAGAGAGAAAGTGAGGATGAAAGTGTTGTTAAAAAAAAAAAAATTATCTCATTGGCGTCTGTATGTTAACAGTCTTGTGTAGAAGCTATATATTGTTTTTTAAGCTGGCAAAAAAAACATAGGACATGAGTTGAGAAAAAACGATGGAGTGTGGAATTGAATCAAGACGAGATCTAATTTCAGTCTACAAACAGCAAAACAATACAACAAATACAACATCTACATTTTGTCACTCAGAATTAACATCTACTAAGGAATTTTCAGACAGTCTCTCAAATTTAAACTACAAAAAGAAAGAATGAAAGAGTGATTACATATCAAGAATGCCAGAATCTCTAGCCATACCATGTTTAAGATTAAAAACAGTTTTTATTTTATATCCAAAAACATAACTAGTAATTTTCTGCTAGAATCAAAGATAATGGTTTATTCTATTTAGTTTGAAAATAATTCTGAAATAGTACAAATTGGTATCAAACAGATTGACCCTTAACACTCTTTACTTATATTGTTCAATCTACCAATCAAAGAAGAAATCATGCTGCAAAATAGAATATTAGACAAGCTACTAAAAACATGGAAAATAAACATTTAAGTATCCGATTTCTAGGAAGTAAAAGGTCTAGAATTAAAAGATTTTCCTTTTTTAAATTTCTTATCAGGTCTGAGCTCTTTTCCAAAAGAGACTAGATTTTTATCAGTTTTGTAAAAATAAAATAGATACAACTTACAAGCTGGCATCTTCTGAAAGCTTGGGATTAATGGTTTTGATCATAGATAAATAGACTTGCATTTTATCCATACTCCACAGTTCTTTTTCTGAATTCTCCATATCACCTGACAAAGAAAAATTATTTAAATATTGTTTAATATCAAATAATACACTAGTGACACCTTTTCTTTAATTTCTATGTTACATCCTCTCACTAATAGAATAAAACTTTCAATTTCATTTTTTTTTAATTTCAATGTGTGTTAAATGTATCTCTTAAATTGACAAATAGGAAACATTTATCAGTAACATGTTTCACTTTTATTAAAGCTTCATTGAAGAAGGAGATATGGAGAAAAAGAAATTCTGGTATTTTTATTTTTGATTTTCATTGGTTAATCAGGCTTCATCTGCATTTGACTTGTTACATGTTTATGGTATTCCAAATTCAAGGAAAGATTATGTCTTTTGGAAGCTCCTACAGATTCCATGTCTTTTCCCTACAAAGCAGTATTATTAAATTAAAGAAAAAGAAAAAAAAATTATTATTTTGAGATTCAAATGCTTTGCAAAATTTTTCTCAAAGTGTACCCCCTTTTGCCAAATTTTCCTGCATTCTGACTATCAAAGGAAAAATCCTGCAGGTAGTCAGGAGTTGATTTCAATACTGGTTTTGAATTCCAAATTGTCTTTTTCCCCCAGAGTGACTGGCAACAAGGATTACAGAATCTAGCCTGACTTATATTTTAACCATAGCTGTGGGGAGAAGAGATGAACTTTTTGCATTTCACAAGGGATTTAATGCCAAGTGAAAATATTGTGTAAAAACTAATGTGACCAGTGACAATGACTTTTAAGTTTTTATAACACACACAAAAAAAAAAAAAAAAAAACACACACACACACAATACCATGATTAGACAAAAAAAATAATGAGACAGATACTGACCAAGAGGTTTTTTTCCTTGTAGAATGTAACTGGATATAACTTTATCCCACTCTTCATTTTGCTTGTCCAGTAAAACCATCACAAGGTCAAAGCGGCTAAGCAAGGGACTGGCCAAAGCTACATTTACAGAAATTGACTGAAATATAGAGTTTAAAAAAAAAAAAAAAATCAGGTTCACAACAAATAAAACTTGTTAGTTACACTTTTTATGTGATCAATATAAAAAGAAAAAAAAATCTCTTCAGAAATTTTGACTTGTGCCAAATGTAAGTCACTTTAGACAATTGTGCCACTTTCAGAAACTAAAGATTACCCAAGCCGTTCTTATCTCTTGAAATGTGCTGCAAAAACAGTCATTTATGACAAATTTTAAAAGAAGTGTTAATTATCTATATAAATAATTTCATTTCTCTATTTTAGAACCTTAGAAAAATAAAGTTAACAGCAAATTAATGCAAAGCATCTAAAATTAAGAAATACTAGCCAAAAATTAATTTTGCTCAACAATGCTTCATCTAATAGAAAAAAAAATTATTATTACAAATAATACTACTAGTGTGGATAAAAAAAACAAATAACAACTATAGAGAATATAGAACGGTAAAGAAGATTTTTAAATGGTTAAATTTATTCTCTGACAGTTATAATGTAGCTTCATCAACAGAGCAACAGGTATGGATAACCAGATTTTCTGAGGTAAAGGGATACTAGTTACATTTGGTTATTTTTATTTGAGAATTTATCATTTTACAGTTGAATTGATTAGATGTAAGCGTAAGTTATATGTGACCATTTTCTTCTATTGCACTTCTCATTTGTGGAACTCTTTTCCACCTTCTTGCTTCCCAGGCAAATTTAAATACAATGCCAATTGTGATCTTATTCTTTAATTGTCCACTCTCTTCAATAGTATATTTTTCTCATGTTCTCTAACACTCAGTAACATCTTGCATCCTAGTGGCTTTATTGCCTTGTGTGGGATGAAATGATTAGTTCCAAAAAATAAATAAAATAAAGTTTAAAAAAAAAAAAACAAAACAAAAAAAAACCTATTGCTCTCATCTTTGTTGTTGTTGTTATCACAATGTTTTGGCTATTTTGTCCTCCACCCTTCATCAGGTGCTTGTCAATCCAGGTAACCTTCAGGGAACTTCATACTAAACCCTTCATTTAATCAACAGTGATAGCAGAAAAAAAAAAAAAAAACAATCTACACCCTGTGATATTTTAGTAAATGTAGAGTTAATTCTCTTGCAACTATTTATAGAGACCAATAAAGCCTGTAGTTACTTAGTGAAATTTTGGAAAGCTATAACTGATTGCTATCAATTTAGAGAAAATTTTTGCCACAAAAAATTAAATTTTAAAACCTATACTCAAAATAGTAGCAATATAAAATAATTGTATGAAATATGTATCTTCATGAAATAAAAAAAATTAAATTAAGCATACCATCTTTGTTAATCAAGAGGCTGAATTAAGAAAATTAATTGTGATTGAGTAAATATGGCACTTTATACATTAATATTTGTCCCCATAAGCTATACAAACATATTTTGATGAGTATTGAAAAGTGATTGATTTTGTTTTGATGACTGGCCATAATATGCTAATTACTATTAATGGAATCAAAAGCCAAAAACCTCTCATTTGGAACTTAAATTATGTTACATTCAGAAATGCTTTGTAGAGTATATAACAGATACACCCTCTCAAGCAAGTTTAATATGTAAGTGCATATTAGATTTTAAAAGCACAAGAAAGAAAAGATTATATAGCAACAATTATCTAGTGCTGAGTATAATCAGACATTGGGGACTTTCAACAGCAACAACTAAAATAAATACCACATATAGCTCAAAGGGAGAATAATGACAATCATACTGACATTCAAGAAAATGTTGAGAATGCAATAACAGTTACTGGACTTGAAAAAATGTTTTAAGAGTGTAGTGGTATTGACGGCATAAATCAACCCACACATTTTTTTACTTTACGAATGTGTAAGAAAATAAAAAGCAAACAAGAGAAAGAATACAAGAAAATAACTTTTCTTAACAGGTACAATATTTATATTTATAAATGACAACAGTTTAACAATAACAATAATATGAGTTACTTCCCTTCGACTGGGCTAAAGTTTTTATTAATAAAACTTTTTTTTATCGGAGCTCACAAAAACTGAATTAACTTGTCGTTCAAAATGTTCACTGAAAGAGAATCTTGTAAAGCTGAAAATATGTTGATAAACTTTTAGTTTTAAAGAAGTTGGAGAAGTGAATGTTCCGTTTGTTTTCGTTGCTCGTAGTTGAGTGTATTGTTCATACTTATTTTTCGTAAGATTCAATAACGTAATTGAATAAGTTTTATAAGTTGTAGAAATTGGTGAGTGAGTTGTTTTGTTTAAATTGTAGTTTGAATTTCAGTGAAGTTATTTCATGTTAAAGAACTTGACGTCCTAACTTGGTACTTAAACAGTAATGATTCAAGCGTCATGAACTCGTTTAGCAAATTCTAGTCGTCGTAAATTCTCACTGACTGGGTTCGCTCGTACCTTCAATTTATGTTTTTTAACCACGTGACAGGCTCCAGTCAGCATTGTTTTTTTCGTCAGGTCAAAACTAGGTTGACGTTATTCAGACGTAGTGGTGAGCAGGTAAATTGTTTTTTTAACATCTGTTAACCACTCAGAAAGCACCTTACAAAACTCAGTCTGGAGCCTGATATGTTTTGTGTTGCTTATTGAGAACAATACACGTGAAGATATACAAGATAATTTTAATATTTATTATCCAATGAGAAGTTTAGGTTTTCAGAAAAATGTATGAAGATGTGATCCGCTTTCTGCATGAAAATCGACATTGATGAAAAAGTGGTAGCGGACAGCTAAAAGTTTATCAATTTTAAAACTAAAAATATCAAATATTTCTTTATAAAGGAAATATCTATTACCATTATAGATTACAATGAAGAAACAGATTGTTAAATAAGAGATTATGTCCAGTATTTTTGTGTGTACTTCTTTCAAATACTAGATATGATCTGCATAATATTCCAAGGCTAGAATGTAACAGTGACAGAAATGCCAGATATTTAGAAGAAAGCTTTTTTTTTCTTTTTACCTCTTCTGGGTCATAATGTCCTTTGGGATTTGTTGCAGCAAGAATAGTGGTTCTTGTGTTAAGTTTACAAACCATCCCTGCCTGAAAATAGAAAAAAATTAGCAACATTAAAAATATATATGAAAAATAATGTGAATGAATTTTCTAAAATAGAATTACTGGGATACTGTGAATATGCTTTATTTATGAAAATAACAGAAAAATGCACAAAAAGAAAAAATATTTTTTTTAATAACAGGTACCATTTAAAAAAAAAAAAAAATAAAAAAAAAAAAAAAATAAAATAAAAAAAAATAATATCAACAAAAAAGAAAACAAACAAACCCAGAAACACTACCCCAACCCAGAAACAAAAAAAAAAAAAAACAAAACAAAAATAACCAAAAAAACATTTCAAACAAATAAAAAGCATGACTAATGATACTACTTGTGTTCATATCATCAGAATTCAATGTTTGTGTTGCATATCATCAGAATTCAATGAAAGAAAAAAAAAAAAAAAAAAAAAAAAGTGCTAAAAAATATATTAAAATTTGTGTTTCAATCACGAGACGTAAATATCCCAAATTTTCTTATCCAAAATTAACTTTACTCATCTGACACTGATCAAAATTACGAGATAACTTTAAGTGATGATGTCCACTCACTTTCGCCACACTAATTGTTTGCTGCTCCATTGCTTCATGAATGCTTGCCTTGTCTGCTTCACGGATGCTGTTGAATTCATCAATACAACAAATTCCTCCATCAGCCAAAACCAACGCCCCAGCTTCCAACATCCATTCACCACCATCCTAAAAGCAGAACAGAAGGGTATGTTATACTTTAACAAAAAGATACGTTTTATTAAAACATACACTGATTATAAAAGTCAGTTAGGTAGGAAATATATCATCCATCTTCAGAAATATCTCATTAGAAAATTCTTGCAGTTTGTCGAAAATCAAATTTATTTACAAAATGCAAGAACTTTCCTTAAAAGTGTAACTTTGAAAGATTTTCAGACTGTAGATTATATGTAAAATATTTACTTATTCAAAAATGATGAAGGAAAAAAAAAACAAAAAAAAAAAAACTGAGTGTCACTCAACCTTTCATAAAAAGATGTCAATCCTATTCAAGCAAATAAGAATAAGTGTTACTTTATTATATAACATGAATGTCAATATAATAATAATAATGAACATGGTTCAGTAAAAAAAAAAAAAAAAAAAAAAAAAATAGCAGTTAATACTTCCAATATTGTGAACATACTTATATGGCTTTACAAAACTTGGTTTCTGCCAACATATAGGTTATATAACTTAGCAAAGAAAATGTGATTCCCAGAAGCGATTGAACCTGAGCCCCATCTTCCCCTTTGTAGGGGAAACCACCATTTGATGTAGTGTGCTTTACCATGAAACCATCACAGCAAGCAACATTCTATTTTCTCTTTTTAAGGAAAGCTGACCCTCTTCACTAAGATTATTTTTCTCAATACAACACTGAGCAGATACGAAACTTTCAAGACACCATGAAACATTGGTCTTTAGATTGATTTGTTTTAATGGATAATCGACCTTTTTAACTGCATGTTATTTAAAGCCAGAAAATGTTTTAGATTCTAAGAATTTTCTCTGGAGATAATAATGATTAATTGATACAAGTACTACTAATTAATCCATAACTGGGGAGAGAAGAGGTGGATTCATACCTTTCCCAAGGTTATTTGCACCTAAGTGAATATAATAAACTCAACTGGAATTGGAACTTGGCTCTCCAGATTACAATTCCTGGTCATTATCAATTACACCACCTGCACATCCAACCTTACAGCATCTGGAATTCCCAAGTGTCACCTATCTAGGTACTGGCCAGACTTCTTTATGCTTAGGTGATCATGTAAGAACTGATGTTTAAATGTGATATGGCCATAAGCATTGGACTTTAGTATTTGTCTTATAAATTAGCACTTACTGCTATTTTCAAACCAGCATACACATATAGTAGCATACAATATGATCTGTTTTGTAATGTATTTTTATTATATTGCATGTTTGGGATGTTATTTAGCTTAATCTGTACTGTAGACTTAGTGACATCAAAATCAAAATGGTGGCACACATTGAGAAATCACCATTAGTGTTTTTATAGTCATTTATTTTTGGTAAATGGTAATTTCCTATTTTTCCAAAAATAGCCAGGCCACAATCCGGTACCAATGCAGCAGTTAAAATATTAAAAACAGACAATATCTGAATCCTTTTTTTTTTTTTTTTTTTTAAAAATCAGCACCAAGTATAATATGGAATTGTTTTTGAAATACAAGAACATAAAAAAGCAAGTTTATGATCTTACCACATATGTGTTTATACCTCAATAAGAAATCATTCAGTTGTTCATAGTAGCAATGGCTAATTATGTGTAGCAATTTTTCTGAATTAAAAATTAGCTAAAAGGCAAAAATAACCAAATGGACATCAATCATTCCTAAAGCTACATGCCTCAAGAAGAGAATCATCATTTATTCTCATTGAAGAATTTAATTCAATTCGAGGTAAACTTGGACCTTCACGCCTGCAAATGAACAGAGTGTCAAAAGAACAGTTTTTCCCTTGACACCGCTACTATTTTAATTAACTTCACTCCCTTGGCAATATTTAGTTTTTCATGTAATGGAATAACCTATCACCCCCACCCCCCATGAGTGACTACACTATAGGTAGTAACTATCTATAAGTATCTGTACGTCAACGGACTACAGAGTCTAGCTGGAATTTTGAGTACAACTCAGACTTACGCAAGAACTACCGACCTTCCAATAGTAGCATTCACGACTGGATTGACTTGCAACGACCTTTTGCATAACCGTTACCTTTATTCTTATTGTACTGGTTTTACAATAAACCTTTACTCATTTTATCCACTGTGTTTTTCAAGTATATATTCCTATTAGCACGGAATATAACAGTTATAAAAAGTGATAATTAGAATTTTAATAAAACCTAAACATGGGAAAGTGAATTTATACATTTGCTTTGTTCTTGGGAATTGACATTTTCAGAACAAAAATATAAACACTATTAGTTTATTTACATTATTCATTATATCATTTATTGGAATGGCTGGCAAAACATCGGCAATTTGCTAAATGATTTGAAGTTTATAATATAGTTGATTCAGATATTTTAATAATTTAGCAAATTTTTATAAATCTATGATTAAAAAATTATTTTCATATTTATTTCTTTATAAATTGGTCAATGATAGATATTGCATTGCATTAGTTTTAATACAATTGTATTAGTTTTTAGATTCTAATAAATAAAGTGTTTCATTTTATTTTGTAATTTTCAAAAAAAAAAAAAAAAAAAATATATATTCATTTTCATCATGTTTAGGTTGTATTACAATCCTGATCATTGCTTTTTAAAAACAGAAATTGCTGAAGAATGAACGTAGTTAAAATAATGGTGGTGTCAAGGGGGGGATAAAAGTTCTTTTTAAGCCTGAAAGTCATGCCAGACAAATCTCATTCTTCTAAATATCAAAATCCAACTTTTAACCATCATAAAAATATTAATGAATGTCACATCTTTAAAAAATTGTATCACTGACATAAAAAGTAATGAAAACTTCAGGAGTTTTTAAATATCTCAACAGATGAGAATGTAAACATTGCATGATTCTTATAACTGCTACTGATGATCATCATAATAAAAAATGAAGATTTAAGTGTCACAGAAGAGTGCCAACCATTTTGATCAAAATCTGAATATCACTTACCCTGATGGCAGTAACAGTAAGACCTGCAGAAGTACTACCAATTCCTGTTGTAAGGACAGCACGAGGCATTACTTTGGCAGCATATTTCAGGAACTGTGATTTACCAGTGCCTTAAAAATAGAGGAAAAAAAAAAATAAAAATATAAAAAAAGATTGATATTAAAGATAATAAACTAAGAAAATAAAATTAAAAATTTTTTTTCTTTCTCTTAAATCAATTCACCCCAAGCAAGGTGATAATGCCACTAAGATACAAGGGGCTACTGAGAGTGAATGAGAATGGAAAAAAAACTTTAGAAGCAACCAGAATCTCAATCCTAAACAGGAAACAAGAGATTAACCTGTTTCTGTTCAAAAGACCAGGGAGGAGTATGAACTGGATGATAGGCAAACCCATCTACTATTATATAAACAATATTGAGAAAACAAGTATGCAAAAACAGGTTTATTGTTTGAAAACATTAAGCATAATAAATGCAAATAACTTAATGATGAACTAAGTTATTTGACATTTAAGTTGGGAGAAGTATTATTACTTCGTTCTTTTTGGCACATCATTGCAAATCATTTTGAGGTTAACTGGTTGACAAGTGTTATAAATAATTACTGCAGCACCAAGTTTAAAAAGAAAAGATAAAGAAAACTCGCTTTCTAGAAGACACCAGGTTTACCATTCCATATTGGATGGATTCCTAGCAGGGTCAAATACACAAATTCGAAATGATAACGAACAGTAACAAATGACAAAATGCCAATATTTAATTATAACTCGACAATACATGAAAATATTTAGGCAAGAGTATGTGTGGGAAGATGTATGCTATACATTTCTGTGTAGGAAGATGCACTTTATTTTGTAAGGGTAAAAGTTGAAACAGAAACTTAGCTTCAGTAGTTCTGAAATAAAATAAGATTTTCTTTTCCCTTTTCTCTCACTTTCACTTAAATTTCTCTGTCCTCTTTACTTTCAAATCAGTTTCTTGGCTCAAATAGTGGTGTCCTTTGATCTATTCTTCCATATTGCCTTCGGTAGTCAGTTGAGGAAGTTCAGCGCTGCAGAATTCATACTTCGTCTAACTGAGTATATCACGTGTACTTCTTAGGTGACTGTAACATTTCACCAATCACCTCTGCCTTTAAGCAGTGTAGAGTTCAATTGGAGTTCTTCTTTTATCATGTAATCTCTCTTACTTGACTGTAACAAGAGGGATTATTCACACAACATTCATTCCACCTCATCCTGTGCTTGGAGTTTCTCTGAGTTGTGGACGGCATTCCTTCTCTTCAGTTAGGAGAATCAATTCACATTAGATTTTAACAGATGATCTGCTCCTTCAAGCTTCATTACCCCAACTTGTTTCTGTTGATCTTTTCTCACTCAATTGTTCGTATTTGGTTACATGATTTGTCACATGTATGAGAATCTATTTTTAGCATCAGCTCCCACCCATTGCTGTGGTCATCAGTCCCTTTTGACATAATTGTCTTTGCATTCAGTGACTTCTATTATATATCCAAAGAGAGAGGGGGAGTTCACGTGTTATATTATAAGGGAGATGGGTTATTAAGTGTACATTGTGTGTGGGTATGTGTCGTGAGTTGCAGAAAGCCATAACACAAAAAGTTACATTTAATTTTTATAATTTCCACAGTAGCATCATGTCCTCTATTAATCTTCTTTATTGTAAGAAAAAGAATCAAAAAAAAAAAAAAAAAAAAAAAAAGACTAACAGAAATCCAGTATTTGATTTTCACTTGGTGCATGTTTTATGCCAGATTAATGGCCCCCTTCAAGTAAGTCAAAAGAGTGTATTTGGATTTAATTCATATTTTACATTTATCTTTACAATTTAAAATTATAAATGATACTTATAAAACCCAGATTTTGTGTGTGTGTGTGTGTGTGTGTGTGTGTGTGTGTGTGTGTGTGTGTTTATATATTGGATTGGATTTCCTACATTTTTCAACAAAACTTCACAGGACTATCTAAAATTACCTTGCAGTGGTTCTGACAGCGCCAAAAATTGGAAAAACAATTGTTTTTGCACAAAATCAATTTGAAAACACGATTAAGAGACATCACTTTCGCAGAATGAAAGGAGGACAACTCATATCGCATTATACTTATTATAAAACCAAGGCTGTGTGTGTGTGTGTTCGTTTATATATGGGATCAGATTTCCTACATTTTTCAACCGATTTCAACAAAACTTCACTTTTTTTTTTTTGGCAGGTAGTGTTTCTTATTGTCTTGCACACTTTTTTTCTTTATTTTTACATTCAGAATGCTTTAAAAATTCCATTTACATCCCCGGGCAATGCTGGGCTCTACTGCTAGTATTAAATATTTATCAGTGGCTTTCCAGAACATCATATCCAACACATAAATCATCATACCATTCCATGATCTTTATCAGGAATATAATGATTGTGGAATAAAGTGATAAGGAGTAGGTCAGATTTGATCTTCTGCAATGCTTTCAGTTCTTGTAGCTTAGTGGTTAAAACAGGTTGGTATTTACTAAAAATTCCCTCAAGTCAAAAGGGATGAAAGTTCAAATCTTACTAAAAGTTTCTCTTTTATTTCTAATCTGCACTTCGTACTCATTGCCACAGACTGATGGCTTAAGCAGAAATAAAAAAGTGCCTAAAGATTAATATAGAAATATATACATAAACATTGATGATAATGCTTAATATTGTTAAAAAAATATCAAAGTGAATACTAATTATGATAATAATGCGCAACAATCTTTCTAATAAAATGTAATAATGCTATTTAATTTAGTTATGTATATTTTTAATATCTGAATGATGCAAAAATTAAGTAAATCTACTTGCTTTACATTCTGAAACATAAAAACAAATCTGTTGCTTGAAAATTATTTCAAAATAATTTTAGCTAAATGAAAACTATTTTCACACCTTATATACAGGGTACAATGGGTAAATTGTTGCCATTTTATATTTTTAATTTTGTGCATGTGAATTGTTTTTAATTTTGTCAACTGCACAGTATAGTAGGGTCAGTTGGGCACTGCTGTGAGAAAAAAAAGCACCATGATGCAATTCACTCTGCCAGAAATTTAGAAACAGCAGACTACACTGCTTGACATTCATGTCAGAAGCTCCAATACAAAAATTTCAGTGTTCTTGGGTGTCAATCTGAGGACAGTGCAGCAGATTCGGAAAAAAATTGGAAGAGTCTAATGATGATTATGATGGTATGGCAGCTTGGAAAACTCACTCTGATCATTCTGATAAGGAAAAAAACTCCTGAATTTATTGGTGAGGGACTTAAATTCAACCCAGAGGCCTAAATCAAGTTACTTGGATCAGTAGTGCTGCCCCAGGGTCAAGAGGGTGGCTGCTAGAAGACCCTATGTCTGGTAACAAGACTCTGCACCATGCCACACAAGCACTGTCAGACAATTTCTGCAACCACATCACCCCTTACATCTGGCTACCTAACTCCCCCAGATTGCAGCCCTCTTGATTATTGTGATGTGCAGTTGAGCAAAAGGCCAACAAAACTCCTTAGAAAGCCAAACATGAACTGAAGGCAAGGATTATGGCAGGATTTACCAACTTAAACAAGGAGACCATCCAGAGGAGTTGCAGGAGATTCCAAAGTCGTCTGGAGGCCATGGTTGAAGCCAATAGTGATTTTATTGAATAAATTTACTCTTTAGTATTTAAAGATATTTTTGTGTAATTTTGGTAAATATATTTGTTAAAGTGAGATGTCAGTGTTATTTTCATTTTTGTGTAATTTATCCATCATACCCTATAGATGTAAGTATTATATAAATGGTTGATAATCAAGTAATGCTCATAGTACAGGATTTGTTAAGTGAAGTAAGTGTTATACTTCAAGTCACCAGAAGTTTTTTTTTTTTGTTCCAATATAAATTAAATACATTCACTGGAAAGAAGCAGTGTCAAGAATAGTTCATTACAACCTTCTCCACATACAGAACCACTTTACAAATTGTCAGTGGAAAATATGTTACACTTCAAGTAAACAGAAGTTTACTTTTTTTTTTTTTTGTTTGTTCCAGTATCAATTGATACAAATATATTCCCTGGGAACAAGTTAGCAACTTTCCTTGCCAACATAAAAATATTTTCCAGTGGCAAGTATTTGATAGTATATACAAGATGCCTATATAAAACATGTAAATTAACAGACAACAAAGAAAAATTAAATATCTTAAGGAATCTGAACAAGAAATTGAATTCAACAAACCTGGGTCTCCAACCAATAGCAAATGAATTTCTCCTCGCACTTGTGTTCCCGTCTCATCATGACGCTGTAAAAATGATAGTAAATAATTTATTACTACAACGACAACAATAATGTAAATAAACTAATAAATAAAATTTACCATGTAAATTAAATTTTTATAAAATCAGTTACAATAATATATTTTGGGTGAATTTTTCTATTTTTCCTCCTTTTTCATAACATTGAATATTAGTCAAGTTGTTGCTTTTGCTGCTAATATGAGCAACACCAAGATTATATAAAAATTTTAGTGGATACATGTGTTTAAGTAGATGCCCTGCTTAAAAAAAAAAAAAAAAAAAAAAAAAAAAAAGTGAATTACATCTACCGACCTGTTCATTTGAGTCATAAAGAAAATGTGCCCTTTGCCAAGGTACGAATCAGCATCCCCCTTTACAGGGGGAACCACCATCTGATCTGTTGTGTTTTAGATCATTCAGCCAGAAAGGGAACCTTACTGGCCCATGAAGCTTTCTGTGGTTGACCAATATAAAGCATACCAAATCAGATGGTGGTTTTACCCTACAAAAGGGAATCAGGTTCAAACCCTGTTAAAGTGAACACTCTCTTTATTAAGACTCAAAAAAGAAAAAAAAATTTACTCAGTTTGTTTTGATTTTGTTTAGCAGCATATCAATCTATATGGGTTATTTAATGCCAAAATCTAAATATTTTGAACAGAAAAAAAAAAATGTATCATTGGTCATTTTGCTATAAAATTTATTGATGGTAATTCTGCATTAAAAAAGTATTGTTGGTAATTTTTTAATATATAAAAATGTATTGCTGATATTTTTACTATAAAAATCTATTTTTATACTTTTATAATATTTGGGAGTTCACTATTTGCCCATAGCTGGGGCCCTAACAGGTGCTATCACCCTAGTCAGGGTGTACTTGGAAATATCAAAAGTTAAGAGGTGGTTTGACACTCCTGAAAACCTCCAATCTCTTGATCATATGCCTTGCTGCCAGGTGTAGTTTATCGTCATATCCAGGACCAGTTTACTCAGACATGTACTCATTAAAATATAACATTTAAAGTAATAAAAAAAAAAAAAAAAAATGTTGGATTAAAATAAAATCCATTTGTTCCTTTTTATATATATATATATATATATATATATATATATATATATATATATATATATAATGCGGTACTTATTAGAAAGTGCTCAATATCAGAGATAGAGCTAACATATTTGGTTGGATAGATGCGAGTTTGTGACCCTGGGTTTCACGCTTTAGCGATCGTCAGACAAACACACACACACACATATATATATATATATATATATATATATATATTTATTATTTTATAAAAAATTATAACATAAGTATGTTATAAAATCACTACAAAAATAGCCAATTGACCTATGTTTAAAAATTATTTAACCACATACATGTGTGTGCGAGATATATATATATATATATATCTCACACACACATGTATGTGGTTAAATAATTTTTAAACATAGGTCAATTAGTTTTTGTTGTGATGCTTTCAAATTCATGGCTTAATTTTTTGGCAGACTTAGAAAATTGAGTAAGAGAAATACCAAAATTTTCTTTTGAATACTTTTATATCCCACCCAAGTACTTTTAATCTCATTTGAGACCCACCTTCAGATCGACATATGTCTAAATTATTTAATCAAACCTGTTTGAATAAAAATATGCTGCCTAAATATACACTCTCTCTCTCTCTCTATATATATATATATATATATATATATATATAAAAGAACAAATAGGAAACATTTTTCAATCAAACATGTTACATTTGTTCTTTATACTTTCAATCTATCAGATTCTGATCCACATTTAATCCTAATTCATATGTTAATGATAATCTTAAAGCAAAAGATCATGCTTTTTGTTGCTTTAACATGTAAGCTTGATACACAATGCCAAATAGAATGAAAATGAAAGTATATGAAAATTCTATAAAGATTTGACTAAAGTGATAACAGGCAGTTTGAGATTATAGTCCAAATTGATAAGGTACATTATCATCACAAAATACTATCCCAGCTTACCATTCATCTAGTTATAGTAAAATAATTAAAATTTGAAGAGTATCTAATTTTAGGAGCAATTTAGAACTCAAATATATGGATAGGTGTTAGAGTGTATAGTTGAAAAACATCAAATGCATTTTTTTTTCTTTGATGCCAAACAATGATGTTCATATTCATAAACTTGCAAGGAAAGCAGTGTTTTACAATTGCTACTTCCTCAAATAACAGAATGTTACCAAAGTTCTATTTATAAGAGCTAGACAGAGGCAAAACTAAGGGGAGATAACTTGTGGCCAACAATATGTTCCAAACTCTTATTCTTTCTCTCCTCAGGCAATTTCAGCAAGAAGGATGTTTAATTAAGAAAAATTAGTGGAAACAATATTCAAGTGGCCACTCCTGGGGTGAAGAGATGTTGATATTAAAGTTATTCAAACAGTAAGGTTCATAACTACAAATTCACCAGAGGAAAAAAAAAAAAAAAAAAAAAAAAAAAAAAAATCAAATTTAAGCAAAAATACATTTCCTTCTGTTAGGGGATGCTAACTTACTTCCCCCATAAAGGACAATAACTCAAAATACAATTGAATTAATTCTCTTGTCTGCTAGCAGGAGCAGGCACTTCTAAATTCAACTTGATAACAAACTGACACACACACACATATATATACATATGGAATTTTTGGTTTAAATCCAACTAATACTTGCTGTTCTCAGGTAGTAAATGAATAAAAGTTGTTTTATCATGTGTTAAAATACACTTATCTTTTATTTTCATTGTTTTTGTTCATCCCAACAACTTAGGATGTAACACCTTTAGTCTCTATAAAATCTATGATACCTTTGGTTTTATTAAAAATAAAAAAAATATCCACACAAGAAAAACAAAAATAATTTACCTGTACACCACCTGTGAGTACTAGGATGATAGCTAGTTTCACAACATACAGACCATAAACTTGAGGGCAGAGACTCATTAGAATCTGGTTCCGCCCAGTCAGGGGTCGGTTTTTATGTTTCTCCCAGAAAGAATAAAACTCTTCTCGCTGCAAGAATAGAAAAAGTACAATAAATTTACAAAGTACATTTAATCTATTTTATGACTACCTATAAGGGCTGGCTCAAGGTACTGGCAACACAGGCAGTTGCCTGAGTGCAATCAAGGCCAAGAACACTATATGTCTTTGGGATTTTCCAAAAGTAAAGCTTATAAAAACATACTTGTGATTGTTCATGACTTAATACAGATTAAATTCTTGGGTTATTTTGTCAACAGAAAATGATCTTGTAGAGATCATAAGTGTAGAAAGTGCCATGAAAAGATTTGCAAATCTAAAGTCTAGCTTTAGCTTGTATTAAGTTGTATATTGTAATAAAACAGTTATTCTATATTTTCAGTTTTTCTCCTTGTGAAAATTTAAAAAGAAATTATACTTGTAAGAGCACTGAAGTTCAGCTTGCTTGGGGTACTAGCAACCCTAGGGCTGTCAATGTTTCCAAAAATAATTGTAGATATAATAATAATAGCATTTATTCTTTTCACTATCTTCATTCTTGTAACAGTAAAACACCATGACAGTATTTCAGAACCTCAAAGTAGATCATATGCAAAACAATACAAACAATAAAATCATGCATCCAATAAGATTCACTTGAAAAAGGCCAGTTTCTGAAAACTATTTTGGAGAGTGGGAAAAATACTGAACAAGAAAGTTATAGCAGACAAAAAAAAAAAATCACTTTTGCACATCTTAATTTTTAATTAATATTTTTATTCCAGCTTGATAAAAGTTTTTGAAAGTAGTTGTAATTGTTTTAATAAAGATTTTTCTTCATGAATATATAGCTTAATTATGATTTGTTGATTATCTGGAAAAAAGAGACAATTTTAAATATTATCTTAGGGGTTCACTTACTTTTGCACAACACTGTATGTATGATAAATTTTTCCATGAAAATTTGTCTAGCATGACAGTGAACCAACTTTCCTAGCTGCAGACCTAGCAATCCCAAAATGCAATAGCCAATCACAAACATTCCCACCCCCCCAAAAAAAAGGAAATGAGGGGGAGGGGGCTGTTCCCAGGAGACTATACCTGTTAAAACAAAGATATAAAAACACCACTCATTGCCAATGACAAGCAGTTTGTCTTCAACACTCCAGCCTCATCATACGAATGCCAGATCATCAGACACCTGACCACCTACCTCTCTTTTCCACTAACTGTGACATCAGCCAACTAAGCCAGGAAACCCATCAACTCCCAGCCCTACTGACAACACCTTTATACCTAATCGCTTTTCTTACCAATGGCAACTAAGGAACCACATATGAACAATTTTTTGCCACCTTTCTTAAAACTATGTATATATTCAGAATTTTGACCAATACATGTTGAAATCTTAAACCTTTTTTGTTCTTTTCCTTTACAACCAAATGCTCATTATAGCGCGCACACACACACAGAGGATAATTTTTTATTATTATGACAGGAAAACATTTTAAATTTATAAATGAATGTATTTTACTCCTGGCATTGGATAGCAATAACTGAAAAAGTGAATCTAAAATCAATATTACCATTTCTTTGGTGATGAGAATTGTGCTTCTCTTTTCATTGGTCACTTGGATGTGGTTGGCTTTCATAAACAGTTCAATGTCACAACGAACATCAGGGTTTGAAGGACGCCATCGACGCATGACTACTCCACTAGAATAAAGAAAAATTTAGAACATTAAATTTTTAAGTTGATGACTAATGCAGCAAAAATAATCAGTAATAGATTATCAAAAGAATCTTGGGGATTTATTAAAAGATGTAAAATCTCTCTTAAGCTAGTCACAGGCAAAAACTTCTTAAGCTATTCATATGGCTCTCCACAACATTTTATCCCTCATGGCACTTAGCAGCGTTTCTCTCTTTGCCAAGCCTACTGCCTCCCCACATTCTGCCATCTGTTCAAACAAGCTCATCAGGTCAGTATCCCATTGATTTCCCATCTCTTGCTATCAATATGCCCTGTGAGAATTTAGTTTTTCAAGCCTTCTTTCCTCATTATGTGCCCAAGAAATTTCAGCTGTCTTTTTTCTGATTCTGAGTATAAGCATTTCATTCTTATCATTTTCTTTAAAACATCCTCATTGCTTACTTGCTCTGTTCATAGAATTCTCAGTATCCTTCTGTAGAACCACATTTCTGTTGCTTTCAGTTTTCTCATCACTTGTGGGAAGATTGTCCAGCATACATTGCAATACAAGAGGATTGATTTGCTTGCTGCTGATTTTGTTTAACATCATATCAAACTATGGGTTACTTATGCTGAAATATTTTGATTTTGATTGCAAATTTATGGCTTCAACTGAATATATTTTGTACATAAGTTTATGCTTTTTGAGTAAAGGTATGTTTTTTTTTTTTAGATATATCGTTTGTACACCATAAAATGTATTGTTGGTAATTTTTCTATAAAAATGTATTTTTATATTGTTTTAGTGTTGGCATTGATTGTCATTTTGCTATAAAAATGTATTGTTGCTAATATTATTTAAAAAAAAAAAAAATTACTGATTTTTGTTTGAGAGTTCACTATTTGCCTATAGCTGGGACCCTATCAGCTGCTACCACCCTGGGTCAGGGTGGACTTGGGAACAACAGCAATTAAGAGGTGGTTCCAGTCTCCTCAGAAGCTTCAATCTCCCAATCAGAGACCTTGCTTCCGGATGTAGTTTATCATCATAACCAGGTCGAACAGGGGAATTGATATCACACAGCAATTCAGAACTCTGTTTCTAATGAAATTTTCCCAGATTCTTAGTACTTAGTTTAACTCTTGGAATGCATTTTTCACTAATCTAATGCAAGATCAGATTTTGGTGTCACATTTTCCAACTGCTGTTAAAACACTTTCCTAATATTTAACCTAGTTCTTGTAGGATGTTGACATCTTTAATTTTATAGTCCCTATCTTGGGCTTTTCCTTTTGCTGACAACCATACTTTGTTGTCTAACAATAGATAGCTATCCCTTTTTTCTTACTTTCCTTTACTAGTACAAAAAATACTTTATTATTACTTTTGGCCATAATGCATATCGTACAATTCCAATTTTATTATTAAACAATGATTTATCGATGCCTTATTCATAGTTATTTTCTGTTTTGCTATTTTCAATGATGCTATATATTTCATTACCATTTACTTTTAATATTTAATTTTCTATATTTTTTTTTTATTTTTTTTTCAAACCATCTCAATGACCCCGCCACAGGAGCATCCATGCAACTTTCATTTTGGTTACAAACACACGTTTAGGAACCATTGACACAGAAAGAAGAATTGGGGGGGAAAATATTTCTTAAGATAATCTCACTAACCAAATAGTAATATCATCCCCTGCTTTACACGTGTCCACAAGGTCATCTTCTATAACAATCCACATAGAACGAGGAATAGTTCCCATTGATAAACGCTGAACTTGTTCCTGGATTTTGATTTCCTGGTAATCCTTGCATTTTCCAGGCATTGATCCTTTTCATTCCATGAAAGAAATAAAGAAAAAGTTTAAAATAAATGAAAGTAGATATAAAACGAGTTTCAAGTTGAAATATTATTGTAACTATTTAGTAGTTTATAGAGTCATAAAGTTAACATATTTTTAAATAATTATGTTCTAAGAATTCAAAAAAAAAAAAAAAAAAAAAAAAAAAAGAGACAGGCTAAAATAGGAAATATAGGAGAACCCATAGGTAGACAAATTTTTATTTGTAAAAATATTGTATATGAAAATACATTGATTTGAATAGTCAATTTTTTATGACTTGATCAGTAGGGAGAGTTTTATTTTTGATTTGTTAAGATGTGCCTTAGAAAATTTCAACATTTGTCAAGTGGTAGAAGGATTTAATATCTAAGCTAGCCATAGTTTTAGTTTTCATATTTATTTTTTTTCAATTTATTGATGAGATCACCAGAATTTTTAAGGAGTAAAGAGAAGATTCTTCCTAGAAGAGGCATTAAAATTTTTGCTAACTTGTTAGGAATGCTGTATATACGAGAGATAAAAGGGTCTCACTAGAATGTTACGTTTGTGTGTTTTTTTTTTATGAAATGGTTTTTGTGTTTAAAGTTTCTAAAGAGCTATCTCACAAATATCAAAAAATAAATCTGTTTACCAATCACCAAAGTCAAAAAAATATAGTCTATGTACAAGCCAAGTTTGTTTTTTTCCTCACATATTATAATAATAATAATACAGGTTATATTAATGGTGTAATGAGAAGAGAGCTAAGGAAGAAAGACTTATTCACCCTTTCACATTTCTTCTGTTATGGGCACTGTTATATCTATAATATAACAAAACTGATTTTTCATGGATGGAACAGAATGACTGAAAGGAAAAAAAATGACAGACATGCTTTGTTCTCAGAGAGACTTTTATATCACTAAGACATACACAAAAACATGTCCCATGTGGAGAACTATATATCACATATCTACATAGCAAAGTATAAGGAGGAACAAAAAGAATATAATTTGGAAAACAGGCCCACTTCATCTATGTACCAAAGAGAAACAGCACCATGTGCTTGTAAGCTGCTGGGGAGGCAGATTTAACCTCAGCCAGGGCCCTTTGGTCCAGGCAAAAAAAAAGCAACCTTCTCATTTGCATTCTGTACATCAACTGAACAATGACTGCCACTTTGGTCACTGTCTAGATTGATGTCATGAAGCAGATGTCATGTGACCCACATGACTTATCTCCACCAGAAAGCAATAAGTGCCTTTTGTATCCCTACAATGGTGTTTGGCCTATCTATGGGTTCAATTAATGATATTTGGCCTCTTTTCAGAATATTTATAAATGACAAATTATCAATAAGTTTTCGTCTTTCAAAATTTGCAAAAAGGTGAGGGAGTGAGATATGTAATCAAAATAAAATAAACAAATAAAAGGAAAAGTGACAAAAAATACAGACCAAAAGTTCATTAGTCAAAGTGATATTTTCTTAAAACTCACCTTGATCACAAACTGGTAATATATTTACAGAACTGCATACACTGTTTGGACATTTCTTTGGCTTAGACAAACTGTAAAACTGCTCAATATCAGCCTAGAATAATAAAATATAAAATATAAGAAAGAAAAATGTGATGAGAATTTTATAGTAGATTAGTTAAAAAAAAGAAAAGAAAAAGAAAACAGATATGACATCAATAACAAAACATTTCTACAATAACAATTGTAGCAAATGTGAACAAAAAACAATAAATATACAGAATACTTACCTGCACTTGAAAAATCTGCTTGCATTTTGAACAAATAAAATCTCTTTCATATTCCAACATTTTTATTGCAGTTGTCCTGATGACAGTACCTGTAAGACAAATTGCAGGTTACTGACTCAAAAAAACTGCTAAAATTTAATGATAGTCCTCAGTTCTTAAAGTAAAAACTATTGTGGCTTACACTATGAAAATGAAAAAAAAAAAAAACAGGATAGTAGTCTAAAATCACTTATGGATTAAAAATTTTCAGCAAATATTAAGTACCTCCAATGCAACATTTAAAAAATAAATAAATAAACATATCCCAGTTTAAAAAGTTTATAAAAACTTAGGAAATTATCCAATTTCAGTGAAATTTTTCAGTATTTATTCATTAAGAAATGAACTTTATATTAAATATATATATTTTACTTTTATTGAAATATTTTTTCAGGTCAGTTATCACCACCACTACATGGTTAATCAATACTAGTGAATTTTGGAGTTTTTTTATTTTTATAAAACTAAATCACCAAAGGTGTTATATCAGTAAAAAAGAAAAAATTATGTACTATGAACACATAGAAAATATGGTTCAAAATCTTAAGAATTCAAGAAAACTCAAATTATTTTTTGTGAAGAGTTGCCGATACCTAATTTTAGGAAAATGTACTACATATTTTTTGGTTTCTACAGGGAAAAAAATATAATAATGTATATGTTTATGAAAACTTGACATATACAGTATGATTTTAAAATTTGGTCATTGTTGAAAAACTTGATATAAAAAAAAGTATCTGAAAAATCAAAAATATTAAGTTTAATGCTATTTTCAAGTGTGAACTTTTATTAAATATTTTTTTTTCATTTTGCAACTGTTTGATTTTTTATTTTACAGATCAAAAATTCTGAAATGTGTCTTCACCATTGACACATGATGGCTGCTATTAAGAACATGAGAAAAGAGTATCAATTCAAGAGGAATAGGGTGAGGAGAAATGGCTCTTTTCATGGTCATCAAAAATTATTGAAAGTTATAGTATAGTATTTTCGTCTGTTTAATAAAACTTTGTTTTCATTATAATAATGTTAGAAACATAGTAAAGAAGAAATCACTGATACCATGGAATATGAGGTTGTAACTGACCTGAAAAATATTTCCACAAAATTTTCTTATAGAATAACCTTCTCAAAAAAATTAAAATGAATTCAGTGCCAAAATTTTAATTAAAATTGGATAATGCCCTGATTTTTTTTAATCTGAAGATAGAGTTTTCATGTTAAAGTGTGCATGCTGTTTGGAGATGTCATAAATGTTTTATGACATTAGTAACAGAAATGAATTTTAAAACATTGGTAAATTAATGATCAATTCAATAACTTGTTTATCAAATTTTTTTCTACTTTATTTTTTTATAAATTTTCTCATGAAAATAATTCAAAAGATCTCACTGGATAAAATCAAATTAATAAAATTTGTCAAGAAATAATCTTAATGAATAAAAGATTCACTTAAGTATTTTTTTAAATCTTTTTTTTTTTCACTTATTTTTCTTTTTTATATTCTGTTATGTAATAAATAAATTATGTTTGTTATTTTTGTTGTCAATTCTCAAGAACAAAGAAAATGTATAAATTCACTTTCATGTGTAAGTTCTATTTCAAATTCTAATCATCACTTTTTTAAATTGTTACATTCTTCCTAAAACCAACTAAAACATCAAGCAACATCAGACATTGAAGAACACTCCCTATATACTCTGCGAGGATAGGAACTGTGAATGGACCGATGTCCTCAATTCTCTTGTGTCTTCTATGAACACTACTGCCAATAGTGCAACTGGCATTTTGTTGAATTATGTCATCACCAGTCAGCACACCAACATTGTTTTGCCCAAACGAAACCATTGGCACATTACCAATGATGACCTCCAGTGCTTACAGCATGCTGATAAACACTTTGCTGCAACAAGTTCACCAACATGTCACCCTAGCAAACAATGAGGCTAACCACAAGATGAACAAACATCTGAATTGGTTCATCTATAAAGATCCAATAAAAGGTGCGAGACAAAAAAAAAAAAAAAAAAAAAAAAAAGAACATCAAAGCCCTACAAGTGGTAGACTCAGGTGAAGCATCTACACTCACCATCATGATTGATCCCAGTGACCACCAGGCAGTAATCTATCAAAAACACAACAGTTCTATCTAGAAACAGGGTCATCCATCCCGATGCTAAAAGACTCCCAAAATATGCCCAAATTCGTCATAACATACAAGCTCCAAACTAAATACATACACCAAGCCCATGACTGCATCAACCACTCTGGTATCACTCAGATGCGCACCCACTTATCAAACTATTGGTGGATGTTCAAAAACAACATCACGGCATATGTCAATTCATGCAATACCTGTGCTGGACACAAGAGAAATTATGGCAAGTGTCCACACTGGCTCAGCAGATATTGCAAACAAAGCAAAAGACCTTTCAAGGTCGTATACACAGACTTGGTCATGATGCCACTCAAAAAAGGGGCAAACACTATACCTTAACAATTTTGGACAGCTTTAGCTGGCATCTCATAGCTATTGCCTGAGAGAGTCCATGCAATCGATGCAGCTTGTGGACTCTACCAATTCTTCCTCCGTCACCAGGAGATACCCTGCATCATATTTTCTGACCATGGTACCCACTCCACAAGTGAAATGTATAAGAACTTCTGTGAGATGACATCAGTCACACACCTTTACTGTGGTTGGCATCCACAAAGATCTGGCAATATCAAATGACAACATCATACATTAAATAACGTTCCCTATATGCTCTGCAAGGACAGGAACTGTGAATGGAACAATGTCCTCAAATTTGTTGTCTATGAATGCCACCACCAATAGAGCAACTGTCATCTCACTGCATTATGCCATAACTGGTTGGCACCCCAACATTGGTTTACCCAAACTACCCCACCAGAACATTAGCAATGATGACCCTGTTGCTTACAGCAAACAATGAGGCCAATCACAAGATTAACAAACATCTGAATTGGCTCATCTATAAAAATCTGATATAGGTGAAAGACAAGGTCTTACTCCACAGACTTCATTCAGCCACAGCCCACATATCAAAATCTGCCTTGGACAGGTAGTTACCAAGTCATCAAGACGAACGACATGGTACTCCAAATTGCAAACGATCATAGCGAAACTAGTTGGGTCCATCACACTCATGTATGTCACCTTATACCGTAGCCTGACCACCATATTTATATGAACTTGCACCTTTCACCACAGACACTCTGAGTGACACTCAACACAGCGCCACATCCTTCATCTGACAACCATGTAAACAATGAGGACCCCAAATTTAGTGATCTCACAAAGAAATCCCAAAAGACAAACACATGGTTAGCTACTGAAACATTTTAAAAATTTCATTACTCACAAAAAAAAAAAAAAAAAAAAAAAAAAAAATCACTACACCATACATACCAAACCCATCCATGAACCAGAAGATCTAGAGGGCTGTTACATTTTTCCTAGAGGCAGATCTTCCAATTCACGCTACACTAATTTCACTGGCCGGATGTGAACACTCCAAAACCCAAGACTGAACTAAAATTCCATCAACTGCACATAGCTTCCATTTTTATTCACATACTTAAAGAAAAATACAATCCAGAATTCCCACCCAATAACACCCTCTCCTACCTAAACAAACAAAATAAAAATTGGAACTGATCTTAGAAAAGGACATAAAAGCCCATCAAAGAGATGTCTTTAGTAGTCAGACAGTATAACAGCCCAGATTCATACTTGTTGGAACACAACCTCCCATCTCTAAAAGACAACTTGACAAAGGCCATCACCACAGTAATTCACAACTCACCCTCCCTCTCCTACTGTATGCCTCTGTGGACAAATTTTACAATTCTACTTATTTCCTTTCTAGGAGAGACATTTACATTGATTTGCCATTTGTCGTATTTTTACATTAATACAATTGTTTATTTTTAAACCTCTGCTATTTCTTCTTTAATCTGCCACCATACACTTAATATAACAACTGGTGTCAGAAGTGTGCGACTGAAACAAGATGGACTACAGGGCATTTACTTGCCATGAAATGCTAGAATTAATGAAACAGCAATGAGCAACCATTCTAAAACTGAAAACAGACCTGAAATCCATAAGCAAATATCAAGCCAGAATCACTGACGAACTTCAAACAAAACTACAGGAAATGCTGACTGCTCTCAACTGCTTCTGTCAAGATCACTCACACATTCCAGACTTATTGTCTATTTCTTAAACCTCTGTTGTTTCTCCTTTGTTATGCCATCATATGTTTAATATAACAATATCTTGATAGAGAACGACTGTAAAACACTTGCCCCTCCCCAATTTATAGGCAGAAGCACACAAATGTATGCTAGAATTTCTTCTTAGTCCAGTTCTCAGTTTCATATGACTCAGTACTGGTCTGTCTTGTCTTGAAGTCAGAACACTACGTTCACTTATTCGAATTTGCTTGTATGTCAACCCCAATTCCGAGCTTGTGAACTTTTTGCCATATTACTATTGCTTTGTCTTATTACTGTTAATTTGTCTTGCATATATCATTTGCCCTATTCTTTGCTTTTCTTTTTCTTGTTATTGGTTATTACGAACATTGTCAATTTTGTTTATTGGGCAGTTCTGCCATTTATTTACATTTAACAGTGGCTACTCAATCTATATGATATAGGAAAAATCCATCTTATTGCATATTTATCCATGTTTGCCAAAGATTACATTTAATACTACTAATTAAATGCAAACGTAGAAGATAGTTGACAGTATATTGCATTCAGATAAGTAAAGAATATATATATATATATATATATATATATATATATATATATATATGAAGATAAATCTGAATAAGTTCTATTAGTTGGGTGTGTCATCATAGCCTGATCAGTAAGACATTGCCATAGATAGGCAGATTCCCAAAAATAAAGGATGCTCATTCAAATCTTGGCGGCCTACAAAATAAAATATTATACAAGAACAAAAACTGATCACTATAAAGTTGTAGAATTAAAATTCTACATTTCAAATAGCTGAAAATAACTTGTCCAATTTTGTGCAAAAAGTGCATCACAGGGCCTTGATATTTCTCTAACTCCTGATTGGTCAATTAATACTAATATCATGTTTTCCATTACATCCAAATTGTAACAACCTAGTTTCTGACTTGAATGAAAATACAATTCCACCAAAACTATGTGTTTCGAGCCTATCACATGATATACAACATTATAAATACCAAGTGACATCTTCAACTCTTCCTCTTTTTTGCCTTCTCTCACACACAAGATGTAACGTTAGAGAGATTGCGTTTGTTCCTTAAGGACAAACGCTATGAAACATACTATACACACATACTCACACATCTACGACATCTATTCATTCTTTCAACTACAAGTAACAGAAACTTATTCAACTTCTAACAGAGATTTTCTTCAGCGCTCAATAAATTTACAACACCTTGTCTTTGAACATTTCTTTCATTGAGACTGAACTTTATTTCATGAACTGAAATCTTTTCTGTGAGTTCAGATAAAAATATTTCCTCTTAAAAGGCTTTAAGAATTTCAAGTTAAAGGAAAATAACTCCTGCTATTAATTACAACTCTTGCTATATAAAAAAAAAAAAAAAAAAAAAAAAAAAAAAATCAGACTTGATTGTTTTGTATGTCATACAGAAAAATGAAGATTATTATAAAACAGTTTTTGTGTTGTTTCTCTTGTTTGCTTATTGTTTGCTGACATATTTGTAAAAAAAAAAAAAAAAAAAAAAAAAAAAAAAAAATGTATGGATTGAATTGAGGCCGTTCGATACTGCTACAAAGTAATTGTTTAGAAAGCATTAAAATGTAATTTATACCAACACTTTTTCTTATGATCTAAAAGTTATTAACAAGTGTTCTTGGACTATGGTGTCATTCAAATATTGCCTTTTATTTTTTTTGATATATGCAAAATAATTGATAATTTTGTACCTGTCACTGAAAGAAAATTTCCAATATCTGCATTCTTGGGAAGAGATGTTCTTTGCAATTCTGGGAAATCAGGCAATGCCATAATACGTGCATGAATATTTTCTTTTGCTGTCTGCAAAGGCATGAAATGTAAAAATAGAAAGTAAGTTAAAAAAAATCAAAATTCAAAGAAGTTTATTTGTATTTCTGTCAACATTTAGGGACACAAAGTAATATTTTCAAGAGGATGAAAATTAAAATCCATGTAAACTTAATTCTGTGAAAATCCAAAGGCTATTTCTTATAAAATCTACAAAGTTGTGCTGAAGAGTTTAACTCAATGCACCTCCCAAAACCTGACTAAGTAACCAAATAAATATCAGAATTTTTTTTTTCATAAATCCCATTTTTCTTTTGTTTGGTCAAGGAACTTTTCAGTAATCTCTCAAACATGAATTTTTTAATAAAAAGTTCCTAAAAAGACAGCACACAGGTAAGCAAAAATAGCATCCAAATTTGATGTTTCTTCCAACCTTATGTTCACATTTCTTTATGATGAGCCAGTGATTCTCAACTGGGGTTCATATGGACCCTGGGAGTCCATGTAACATTACTGGTAGTCTTCAGTAAAATTATAGTGGTCCATAAAGCAATTTCACTTCAGAACAGTTATTACAACTGAAAATTGGAATTTCTACAGTAATTTATGCCATATTAAAATACTAAAAATAGAAAAGTGATGTAAGTTAGCGTTCCTTTTACTGTACTGGATGTTTTGATTGTAAAAGTTGAATAAAAGGATATATAAAGGAAGGATTTTATTTATATAAGGAAAATTATATAAAGATTATAATTTATTATATAAATTAATATATTAATAATAAATAATAATTTTAAATATTAACAAAATATTAATATAAGTTAAATAATATAGTAATAGACTCAGCCTTGTGAAAGGGGGTGATCTTCAACTATCATTGACATCGATGGAGCCAAATAAAAAAAAATTAAAAAAAATTGCAGAGCAGCATCAACCATGGCGAACTCATTAAATAAATCTTCACATTTTTAAAATTTATTAATTACTCACACATTTTAAAATGGTTTATTTTACTAGTGTACATAAATGTTCCATAGAATTTAGTTGTTAAATACAAGTTTATTTTCATTAAATTAGCTTTACTTAAAAATAAAGCATATACATTTACTATTTCTATAATACAATTCCTAAATTTATCTATTCATAAAAATAAAATAAGCTTTTTTTTCATCAAATGGTTATGGGGGTCCACAAAAAAAAAAAAAAAAAATAATGAGTAAACATGGTTTTTCTTGAGTTGCCACACTGATATCAAGTGTGAAGATTTATTTTGAGTCAGTTAAGGCCATAGGAGATAGATGCTTGAGCAATCACGTCTCTTTCAATTCATGACTGTCTAGGTAGAAAATTTTCTCACAATAGTTTGCCAACCAAGACTATAGGTCGCAGTCAGTCCTGCTATTCAACCCATAGCTAGGGGAGAAGAGATGGATTCATATCTTTCCCAAGAGTATTTGTGTATAAGTGAATGTAACAAAACCAATAGGAATTTGATCTTGGCTCTCTCTCAGATTTCTTATTCCAAGCCATTATTACACCACACTGTACATCCAAATTTGGAGGACAGTTGCTTATATATTATAAAATCATATGGTTTGAACAAAAGATTAGTTACCATATTTAGACTTTCTGGATGAACTTTCTGGATTGATGTCTGGGCTGTGACCAAAGCAGCATCAAACAATGGTAATAACTGAACTGGACTATGGATCAGGACATCAAAGACAGGTATGTTACTTTCAAACAAGGTGGGAGCACTGTAAAAAGAAATAAAACCAGACAAATCAATAACAAATTAATTCAATCATCAACATCACAAAAAAAAAAAAAGTTTTAGGTGAGAATGGAATAACTGGCCATGCTTAAATGTAATTGGAAAAATGGTCAAACAAAATTGACAAAGTTCTCAAACTATAAGAACACTAATAAGGTAAAACATACAAAAAAAAGAATGTTTTACACACAAAAGGGATACAGTCGAGTGACTTCAAAACAAAAAAGAAAAATATTGCAGATGAAACTGAGAATTGATCTATTTCTATCAGTTAAGAAATCGTAGCATGCATCTGCAAAATTTGTCTATAAATTTGTGGAAGGGAGATATTCTTAGCAGATTTAAATTACAACCTGAAATATTTGGCTTATTTTGTTTTACAGCATATCAACACCTCAATGGGTTATTTAATGCCAATAAGATTTTTAGGATAGGTTTGTATGAATAGAATATCTATTCTTTGTAAGAAATCAGCTTGTCAGTTTTCTTTGACATATTTTTGGAAAAAGGTTTTTGTCGAGAGTCAAATGTATTGCTGGTAATATTTTTTCGAGGGGACTCTTCACTTGATTTGCTATTCTTATTCATTTTCACCTTGAATCATTTATTTTCTAAACAATAGCCTTTTCTTTGTAGCCAACTGTTTCTTTGCATTCCCCTTCATGACTGACTGTTTCTTTGCATGCACAGTCAAAGAATTAATTTTTTTAAATAAATTTCATCTTACTAAATTCAGAACCACCTGTAATCAACACAAAAAAGTTCTAGAACATGCTACGTAACTATATGCAAGTGGTCCAGGCCAAAGTTGAAAACAAACAAATTGGATCCCATGAGTTCTGGAAGATCTCAAACTAAATTATGAATAGAAGCAAAGTGACTTTGCCCTCTATTATAAATAGCCCTGAGGTCATATCTTCCTTGACAGATAAGGCATAGCTCTTTGTCTTGAATTCAATGTTAGATTATAAAGGCCATTCTCTTCCCAACTTCCCACATCTCACTGAACACAAACTCATATTTTCATTACAGCCAGAGAATTCACAAGACTTATTAAAAGCCTTGACCACTAAGAAAGCCACTGGCCCAGACAAAATCCTAGTGGTTATCCTCCTGAATATCAACCTGGTGCTTTCCCCAATTGTAGCAAAGTTATTTAACCACTGCTTGAAGGAGAAATCCTTCCCAAACTTGTGGAAAGTGTCAAGCATAGGACTGGTTTCAAGCAAGCACTCATCCCCCTCTCAGTATAAACCCATCAGTTTTTTTGGTATCATTAGCAAGCTTTTTGAGGCTATACTCAACAAGCAGGTTGTTGAGCACCTAGATAAGAACAGCCTTTTGAGTGACAAGAAGTATGGGTATCAATCAACCTGATCCACTGATATCCTAACTACCATTATCTACAGGATCAGCAAGGCACTAGAAAACAAATACATCCCAAGGACCATAGCATTAGACATTCTGAAGACTTTCAACAAGGTGAAACACAAAGAATTGCTGCTAAAGATTTACCATTATCTACAGGATCAGCAAGGCACTAGAAAACAAATACATCCCAAGGACCATAGCATTAGACATTCTGAAGACTTTCAACAAGGTGAAACACAAAGAATTGCTGCTAAAGATTTACCATTATCTACAGGATCAGCAAGGCACTAGAAAACAAATACATCCCAAGGACCATAGCATTAGACATTCTGAAGACTTTCAACAAGGTGAAACACAAAGAATTGCTGCTAAAGATTTTCAGCTATGAAATCACTGAAAGAATCTAAATAAAGTCTTTCCTAACAGGTAGGTCCCTGAAGGTAGTGGTTAACAGCCAGTCCTCTGGGGCCCTAGCAATCAACGCAGGCATCCCCCATGAGGTCACTTCTTGAACCAACACTTTACATAAATGATCTGCCTAAGAGTATATCATTTGTGAATATCTATGCCGATGATACAATGTATGAGCGTACCTCCAAAATTTGTGATGACTAGAAGTTAGCAGCTGATCTCTCACCCGATCTACGTCTAACATATCAGTTGGAGAAAAATTGGCTTGTCACATTCAATGCCTTGATAACTAAACTAGTTACATTCTATCATCATTTATCAGACCCCAAACTATCACCAGTCACAATGTTACCTCGGGGAGGTCTAGTGTCTTGAGATACTATTGGGCCTTAAATTCACCCCAGACCTCAAGTGGAACTTGTACATATGATCCATGGCTAGCGATGAAGGAAAAGAAAAATGGTCGGTTGCCTGTACTGCTTCAGTAAGTACCTGACTCACTGTGCTCTTCTCTACCTTTATAAGAACCAGATCAAGCCTAAAATGGAATACTGCTGTCATATTTGGGCAGGAACTGTTCAATCCTCACTTTCCAGTCTCAATAGAGTTCAAAAGTGTCTACATGTCCTTGTAGGTGACAAATTATTATTTTCCCCACCTCCAACACCTTAATTATAGACAAGATGTGGCAAGCCTCTTATTACTCTAGCACTACTTCCATGGAAAGTGCTCAGCTGAACTGCATTCTTTGGTTCTGCTAGTTCTAACCTTCATGGCCCTGACCTGCCATGCCATTCACATTGTGGTAAGTTACCCTCATTTCCTCCCTATTCTATTGGTTAGAAGAAAGTTTCACCCACAAACTAGTGCTCTGTAGAACTGATTAACAAAAGAATGTTTCCCTGATCACTACAATCTTAATCTGTTTAAGTCTAGGGTTACTTATTATCTTCCCTATCTATCTGTATAAACTGTGTATCTTACTCTGTAGCCCCTCTACACTGAGTGGCCCCTGAGGCTTTGTACAGGGTGGACATCACTGCTTACAAAAAATAAATAAATAAAAAAAATAATTTTGGCAATTTTGAAGTTTGAAAATGAAACAATAGTCATAAACCACAGACAACAAACACATGAGATGTCTTTGTTTCATTGCTCTTTACATGTTATAGTTAATATAGATACATTTTTGTAAAGAATTTGTGCATTTTATTCTTTTAATCCAACATATTTTTTTATTACTTCAAACATTATTTTCAGTGGATTTCTATATTTAAGTAGAGACATTTTTATTTCGTCTAGTAGCCCACTCTAGAAAACTTAAAGAAAATGTGCCCTCCAGAAGGATTCAAACCACCACCTGACCTGGCATGCTTTATATGAATTTTGAGAAAATCTGAATGAGTGAATGCGCATTAAGGCAATTAGAACTTTGACTGTGAAGCTCTCTGTAACCAAGTAGTCAATTAACCAGTGCCAGTCACATTTTGCTTAACTGAATATGCATTTGATCCAGTTGCTGGTAGTAAACTTTGGCAGTGATGCTCTAGTTAAATTTTAGAAAGCTGTAATGGATGATGCCAATAGCAGACCACCTGACATTCACCATAACCTGCTAGTGAAAATTTGTTTTTGGATCCTTTGTCATGATCAAGCCATGGAGGAGATAATTTATGATTGTCATAAAGGATCCATTTCTCATTACAAGTCAACTATTTGATTAGGAAATGAATCATTTGAATTTGACAGACGCAGTGTCAAACACTGCGAAGCATTGCATTGTTGGCTTTCATGGAGTTCATGTGGAATCCATTTATAGAATTTCTTTGCCAATTTTCTTGAGACAGTTTGATATTTCAAAATGATGACACCCATTATCTGAGACATTTCCTTGTCACTTTGACATGGATTTTGTTCAGCTAATGTTTTCAGATGTTGATTGTCAATTGCAGATGAACATCCTCTACTACTTTCATTTTCAAGACCTGTATCCCCAGTGCAGAACTTCATAAACCAGAGCCATAATGCCCAATTAAAAGTAGATCCTTCACCCCATGCACCTTCCTTAGTGTAGGCCACAGTTTAAGAAACCTTATAGCTAAGCTTCAATGCATCCCCCCACTCAATAAATAAATAAAAAAGTAAACATCTCTTCTTTTTTTCATGTTCAAGATGAGGGGGCGGATATAATATTTTAAATTAAATTCTGAGAGAGATCGATATAAAATTAATAAAGAGGACAATTTAATCATTATGAATGAGTAATATATTTCCATACAACTATTAAAAAACACAAAAGTTTTATTCAAAAATCAGATATTTTCCAAATAACCTAATAGCAACAAGCATCACTTACTCAACAACAATTGGAAAATGGTCTTCTGAATTTTCTGAAAGTAGAATGTGAACAAGATCCTCTTTATGGTTATCAATGCTGTATCTCTCAAGAATACCTGGAGAAAGAAAAAAAGAAAAGCAGTACATGAAAATTCATAAAGCTGATGGAAATTCTGAGTGAGTACATAGCAGAATCAAACTGAAAATAGGACATGAACAGTGCAAGTTTATCAAAGAGACTGGAACAAGGAACACAATATTTATGCTCAGTATGTTATCAGAAAGAGAAATATAAATGCAAAAGGACATGTACCTGTGCTTTATAGATTATGCAATGACGTTCAATAAAGTACACCATAAAGATCTGTTGGAATGACTCAGAAACCTTGAGGGAAGGATGTTAGAATAATCAGGAACCTATACTGTCAAACTTTCTGCATACAGATAGAAAACAAATTCAGCAAATATACACAAATAGAAAGAGGTGTAAGACAAAGTGTCTTCCCAGCAGACTTATTCAAACTAGCAAGGTGATTCTGAGAGTATTGGAAGTCCTAGAAGGATTCTGTTATTGGCAGCCACATCTTAACATAATATATGCAGATGACAGTGTTGACAGACATGGAAAGAAAACTACAAAAACTCCTACAGAGGATAGTGAAAAGAAAGGATTAAACATCAATTGCAAGAAGACAGAATTCATGGTTGTTAGCAAAAAGATTGAGCCCAAAGTGTCAATTGCAAATTGGAGATACCAAAATCAAGCAAGTACAAAAATCTATATATCTATGAAGTGTTTTAACAGCAGATGGAAAGTGTGACACTGAAATCTGAAGGCATATTGAAATAGACAAAAGAAAAAAAAGTACTAAACTGTTAGTGATATCTGTCCTCCTGCATGTCAGTGAGTGCTGGAAAATCTCTTCAAAGAGAAAGAAACTTGAATCAACAGAAATGTGGTTTTACAGAAGGATGCTGAGGATACCATGAACCAAACATGTAAGCAATGAAAAAGTTTTAGGGAAAATGGAAACAAAAAGGAAACTTATAATGAACATCAGGAAGAGACAGTCGAGTTTTCTAGGGCACATAATGAGGAAAGAGTTTGGAAAATTTGATACACACAAGACTGATTGAAGAAAAGAAGGATTGAGGAAAACAATGCATATCATACTTAGTGAGGTTTAATAAACAGATGGTGGAACAGAGTTTAGGAGAAATAACAGAAAAACAAAATTTATTAAGAGTTACAAAGGACAGGAAGTTGTGAAGAGCTCTGATCACCTACATCCTGAGTGGATACAGCACATAAAGAAGAAAGAAAGAATTTTTCCATTAAAAGGTGACAAAAATGAATACTAGACAACAAGCAAGGATACTTCTTTTATGGGCCATGTCCTTTCAAAATATAGGTGATCAAGGCCCTCCACAACTTCTTGTTTTTTGTTGCTCTAAATAATCTGATCCTTTACCATCTTTCTTCTGTCATTATTCTATCCTCAATTTGCACAAACTCAGTAGACTACTTCCTTCATTATGTACTGTAAGTGTCAAATTTTCCAGACCCTCTTTTCTCAATATTTGCTCCCAAAATTTCAGCTGTAAAAGTTTCTGTTGTTCCTATTTTCCTTAAGACTTCCTTGTTTTTCACATGCTCTGTCTATTTTATTCTCAGTATGAGTCAGTAGAACCAAGTGAGGATTACCAAATGCAAAATGGCCAAAGAATGCATCAAGTGAATTGATTGATTGATTCATTCATTCATTTTCTATGACTTATCAAAAGTCAGAAAATATTTTTAATAAGAATTTTTTGGAGATAGTAATGATTTAGTGGTACAAGTCCTACTAATTAATCTATAGCTAGACAGATAAGAGGTAGATTCATACTTTTCTGAAGAGTATTTGCATATAAGTGACTACAATGAACCTGATTACCAATTTTGAGTTATTATCCATTACACCACCTAATATTTTCAAGTGATGACTGGTGACAAAAGTTGGCTGGTGATCTAATTTTTATTTCTAAAGAAAGAAAAATATTTTCATATTAAAACAATGCGATACCATGAATTATCTGGTTTATGTCACTTATGGAGTACAGCATGAGAGGTGAAATTGTAATCTTGGGTGGAATTGGTCATTAGGTACAGTCTTAGGTCTGTTTAACTTAAGTGTTAATTTTGATAAAGGAATTGTTCCATTGGAATGAGTGACACAGATCTGATCTAAATAAGTCAGATTTGTTTGGATCAGGAATATAACAAACTTTCAGATAGAATTGATGATGACACCTGTGATAATCGGGTTAAATGAGGGTGAGATTCTGGATCATGTTCCACTGAAGGTGGATTGGGCTCTTGGGAGCTTTCCTTACTCCCTTTTGAAGTGTAGACCAATGTCAAGCATTATTATTGGCTAGCTAATACAATTGGTCAAGCATTATCATTGGCTGACCAATCATAGCAGTATAATTGGGTGTTTGCACTTCCATATAAAGCATTATCATTGGTGCCTCAATCAGCTAAAGACCCGTTCTCTGAACTGCTTTTTTGTTTTAATTTCCTCGATCAACTGCTTTCATTTAAATAGTTGAACAGCTATGGGCTCTTTAGCCATAACTGCAACTGGCAGTCAACCTCTTCCTCCCAGCTTGAGAATTCTTTATATAGGGAAACTTCTTCAAATACCTTTTGTTTATGTATTCATGATATTAATCATAGTACCATAAATAAAAGTTGTTATTTTTACACTTGTTAATGAGTGTTGTTAATGAAGTTTACTGGTGATGCTGGTGACTTTGGTCTTTCACAAGCATAGCCAGGGAAGTGAGGAGTCAAGCCTGATTGTCAACAGTTCTTCACCGATGTTCCTGCATACACTGAAACACTATGTGGGCTTGCTAGGGACAGACCAACAGACACAGACTAGAGTAAGAGTGGCAGCAACATGGTCATATAGGTACTGACCAGGAATGACTAAGAATGTTTTTTTGTGATAATAATGATTTAATGGTACAAGTCTTACTAATTAATGGATAATTTGAGGAAGAAGTGGTGAATTAATATCTTTCCCCAAAGTAAGTGAATATAACAAACCCAAATGGAATTGGAACTCAGCTCTCCAATTAACAATTCCATTATCCATTACACCACCTGCACATCCAAGCTTACTGCACCTGGTATTACCAAGCGGTCACCCATCTAGGAACTGACCAGGCTTGGCATTGCTTAGCTTCAGTGATTGTACGGGAACCAATGTTTCAATGTGATATGGCTGTAAGTCCCTGTATCAAATGAATTCATGAGAAAACAAAGATGAAGATAACAGTTTGAATAATTAATAAATTTTAACTATTTCTTATAAGGAATTAGCAGATTTTTTTTCACCCAACATTATTTCTTATTATAAATATTATTTTACCAGATACTCATGTTGGAATAGATGCACCATTTTTTGTTGTTTTGTTTTTTCTTTAAAGCATGAATTATGCCTACCAGCCAGCAACTTTAAAACACTTTAAGAATGATGTGCTCTATAGTAGGACTCAAATCTGCATCCTCTCTTTGGAGGAGAAACCATCATCTGATCCGGCATGTTCTAGGCCCTTGGCCAGAGAGAGTCCAGCAAGGTTTAAATAGGTAATTATTTACATTTGGATGAATGCCTGCATCTTTGCTCTTGTTATCACAATCTTTTGGCCATTTTATCCTTTTGGCTTTCTTCAGATGTCTGTCAATCTAGGTAACATTCAAGTACCTTTGAAATGAACCCTTTTGTTGTAACTTGTAATCACCAAGAAACAAGGAATTCAACAGCTTTTCAAGGTAAGAAGCAGGAATCCGTTTTTCTTTGTTGACCACTGTTTATGTTTGCTGTTGGAGTAGATCCTATCTGATTGGATGGCTAAGATGATAATACATTTAAGTGAGACCATCTGGAAAGCTATAAAAGAAATCCCTTTCACCCTCCAGATAGTTATAGTTTTTTGTTAGTTCTGTCATACTGTTACGATATTAGATACTGTTATTATTGCAAGGACAGATATTGCTTGTAAGGCAATTCGTTGCAATCTCAAACTATTATTACCCAGGGACACTGAAGTGCTGCTACAACAGTCAAGAGTTCTATTTTTTTTTCTCCTTTCACATTGACTTTTGGGTACAATGCTTCCGAGTTGCCTAGCTGTTTAAGTTTCCTCCTCCTCCTCCAACCCGTTGACATAAACAAACCCGACACTTTATTTAATCTATGAAGTAATGGAGGTAGAGTGTTTTCATTCTGCTATCTCTATCAACAGAAATATTGTTTGTTTTGTTTGTTTTACTTTAATTAAGCCAATATAAGGCCCAAGAACCACACAAGGTAGAGGTTACTAAGTGAGATTGTTGTAAAGACATGAAGGAGTGGGACTGAGAAAGAAAGTGCTATATGAATATGTGTAGGATAGATATCAGTTGACAATAGACTCAAACAGGTTAAGATCCTAATGGTTGGGGAAGCATCCTCTTAGGAGTTTGTTTCATAAAATAACAGTTCTGGGAAAGAAGCTGTCAGAGTGAACCTTACACCTTAGCAAAGAAATATGAAATGAATAGGGAGGATTTGATGCTGTGAATATGACAGGGTGTGTCCTAGCTCTGAAGGTTTGAGCTGGTGGAAGTAAGGAATGTAGCTCATTAGAACATTTGTCATAGTAATAGCAATGTTCTTAGCTTTTTTTTTTTTATGAATAATGTTCACACCTGTACAAGGCCACTCGAGGTAGATAGTTAAAGAGTAAGGAGGTACAGTTTATGGAGATATACGAGGAAGATAATGATTGATCCTAGACAACAGGTTATAACTGTAGTGATAGAGAAAACATCCTCTTGGGAGTCAGTTTGACAAAGCAGCAGTCCATGGGAAGAAGCTGTTCAAGTGGAAACTAAATCTCACCAATGAAATATGAACGGAATGACAGTGGTTCACTACAATGTGCATGGCAGGTCTTAGCCTGAGAGTTAGAACTGGTGGAACTTAGAAATGTAGCTCATTTAACACTTTCCATAGCAGTGAATGATTTATGATGTTTGATCTGTGACAAAGGGGGCTGTAAGGTGTAAAATAGTTTGTCACCCACAAGACATGGAGATGCTTTTGGACTATTAAGACTGGAAAATGATGAGTGGAGAACTCCTGCCCAAATATGGCAGAAGCACTCTATTTTTGACCTGATCTGGCTCTTGTAAAGGTAATGAATAGCAGGAGGAGTCAGTTACTTACTAAAGTGGTAAAGGAAACTGATCATTTTTCTAGCATCTTTAGTGATGGATCATATGTATGAGGTCTGGGTTGAGTTTGATTTCCAATAGGAGTTCAAGGTAAGGGAACTCCATAAAGGAACACCCATTCATTGAAAGTTTTGGGTCTGCTTGATGATGAAACATTACTAGTTTGGTTTTCAAGACATTGAATGTGACCAGCCAGTTACCCCCTCCCACCCACACTGAGCTGTTAAAGTTAAGTCAGAGAAGAGATCAGCTGCCAGGATCTGGTCATCACAAATGATCAAAGTATCTTAGACAGATTTTAGTACTGCTCAATTATTGCTCGCCCTGTGTCCACTAAAGTCCAGCCCAGAGACTGAACTCACAATTACTCTCTACTAAGTACTTCCACTGAATTTTCAATACCTAAAGTTTAAGATGAATTTTTAAAAATGAAAAATCATTCTTGAAGATTTCATTTTAGCTTTAATTGAAAGCTAAGTGATTAAATTTATTATTTCCAGTAAGTAAAATATTCTGGATCTACTCTCCCTTCCTCAGAACAGCTTTACCTCAACTAGATTATAAAACACTCTTTGCAGTCAACACAGCTATCGCTGTTCCGCAGAACTGACTTCCCAAAATCCGCCCTCACCTTGGCCTATCTCAACATACTTTGTCCTACCTTGACTTGTTTACAAGGCACTTCCTTTGCAGTCAACCCCAGCAACATCCATACCACTGATCTACCATGACATGACAACCTATAATCGTGACCTCAATCAAGCAAACATGCACTAACTGTATCTTGTGACCCAGGCCATACCAGTATAAGAAATGGTTCAATCCCCGACATTACGTGTACACCAGACCATGTTCCTGTACTAGTAAATCATCAACTTTTTTTTTTTTTTTGTAAAATGGCCCATTCACTAAAAATCTTCTCTGAACTGTAAAATAATAAATTTAATAAAACTATGCCATTATGGTGACGGTGTCATGGTAGCAGCAGCGGCCTGCTTGACAGCCAGCTGCAATTGTCCCTTGTTCATCCTCAGAGAATGCTTTTAAGCAGTTCTGGTAGTTCCAAGGGGTGTCTCTTTAATTGGCGGGAACGTTTGCAATTGGCCACTGCCAGAGTTCACCTTGTAGACTGGATGTCACTGCGCGGAGCCAAATGCACAGAAACGACTTTTGTTATATCGACTTCTGCCCTTGGGGCGTTCACATCTAGCTATCATGTAGAATGAATCAGAATAAGATCTAAATGTGACAGAGTATAACTATATGTATATAAAAAAAATTTTACCAAAGAAAAAAAAAAAAAAAAAAAATCTTATTTCTGAATGTCCTGAAAGCTTCATTAAAATTTGACAATTATTTGATTTTTGCAAGAATTTCCAAATCAATGGAAAAAAGCACAAAAATAAAAAATAAAATAAATATAGCCTTTATCATTTGTTCATTCATTGACGTAACCAAAATTTCCAACATGTTAGAAAGGATTAAAAAATTTCAAAAAATAAAAGAATAATTTGCTCCTTCATCTCAATAATAACAAATATTTGGCAATAAAACTTTGTTTTTATTGAGTTTGAGGCCTTTTTTTCATCGTGGCATGCTGTTTTCCACAAAAAAGTTGGAGGTACCTATACTTTCTATGTCCTTTCAGGACGTAGGTGATCATGGCTCTCCACGTCCTTCTATCCCTTGCAACTCTCAACAAGTTCCTTCCCTCCGATTCCTCTCCAGACCACGTTCTGTCAGCCACTTGCTTAAGCCTGCTAGGTATGTCATGCATTGTTTTCCCTTGTCTCTCTTTCCCTCTATTCAACCTGTGAGTATCAGATTCTCCAGGCCCTCCTTCCTCATTTTGTGTCCCAGAAACTTCAGCTACTTCTTCCTGATGTTAAATATAAGCCTTCTCCTTGTTTGCATCCTCTCTAACACATCGTTGCTCACACACTCAGTCCATGATATCCTTAGCATCCTTCTGTAGAACCACATCTCCATCACCTCGAGTCTCTTCATCTTTGAGGAAATCGTCCAACATTCACTGCCATAAAGAAGGACAGATGTCACATAACAGCTTAGTATTCTTTACTTCATTACCAAAGAAATCCTCCTGTTTTGCAATATTCTCCCCAGCTTTTGGAATGTGTCCTTGGCCATCCCGATACATCTACAGATATCAGTGTTGCATTTACCGCCCTCTGTCAAATCGTTTCCCAGATATTTAAACTTCTGAGTCTGCTTGATTTTAGTGTCCCGACCTGCAAATCACATTTTGGGCTCATCCTTTTACTGATGATCATGCATTCTGTTTTCGTGTAGTTTATGCTTAGTCCCTTCTTCACACTCTCTGTCACTATCGTCCGTAGGAGATTTTGTAATTTCTTTTCTTTGTCTGCTATCAGTACTGTGTAATCTGCATATCTTATGTTGTTAAGATTGTGGCCGCCAATGCTAAATCTCGCTAGGGTTTTCAATTCTCTCAGAATTGCCTCGCTGTATTGGTTGAACAGGTCGAGTGAGAAGACACATCTTTGCCTTACGCCCCTTTCTATTTTTGTATATTCACTGAACTCATTCTCTATGTGCATGCATGCTGTTTGTTGCCAGTATAGGTTCTTGATTATTCTGATATCTTTCCTGAATATATCAAGGTTGCCAAGCAGTTCAATGCTCATTCACTAGGCTACAGTAATTTTTAAAAGTTTGTTAAAAAAATAGTCTAATTAATATTAAATTCAGTACACCTAGGGTTTAAATGTATTTTTCATAAAGGAAAAATCCTTTTCAAAGCTTTCCCCCCAGTTTCAATTGAAAGCTAAAGGATTAAATTTTCTAATTCCAGAAAAAAAAAAAAAAAATACTGTGGAGTATTTCAAATAGAAATTTGAATGATTTTTAGTCGATTCTTCTGAAAAACCAATCGAAATGGCCATTATTAACTTTTTTAGAGAAATGTAAACAAAGCTAATGAAATACCATTATAGAGGTAACTCAATAATGTAAGAAATTTTTTATAGTATTTCAAATTATTATAAGAAAAAAAAAAACAAAAAAACGTTCTTACTTAGAATTTGTAAATTTATGTCAATTCTAGACACCATCGATGGAGACGTGAAAATAAAATAAGACCCCAAGATCAAATGTTTGTCTAGAAGATTTTATTTTTATGCTATAAGTGATATTTGTGAGATAATATATTTTATTCTTTATTATTAATTGATATACTTTGATGGTTAAAGTTATTTAACTCGCAAGTTAAAAAAAAAAAAAAAAAAAAAAAAAAAACTAAAATCAAATTTTTCTTAACTAAGTAAAAAAAATTAAATAACACAAATTATGCATAGAACACACTATGAAAAGTATACACTATAAAGTAAGATGAAAACACAGCAAAATTAAAAATAATTTAGTGAAATAGGAAAAACTCTTTAGAAATCATCACTTCAAGTTTTAAAAAGAAGCCTGTTGAAATGTAAGAAGATGAAACGTGGAAGTAAAATTAAAGTATTGCCCACAGCCGAAAACATTTATGTCAAGGAGTTTTCCCTAAGGGAAGGGGGGGGGGCTTGAAACATGTGACCTTTTAACCATAATATCACTTATGATACACCCTACTAGAAAAAATATTTTTAATTATGGTAAAAAGTTTTGGGAGTATGATTTGTATTAAGATTTTAATTTTCGATTAGTAAATGTATGTAGTCTTCAATTAATAACTTACCTCCTACTCTGTTTAAAAGAATTTTAAAACATTTTTAAACTTAAAGAAAAGTGAAAATTTTGGAAAAAAATAAAATGCAAGCAATTGTTGTAAAAATTCATTTTCACTAAAAAAGTTTTCTTCAGACAATTATGTCCTTAATGTATATTATTTATAAAAGCAAATAAAAGCCTATCTAATTAGATAGTTTTATTGCAGTTTTTATTTTATGATTTGGAGCAGATTTTTAAAAAGTTGGGAGTAGTTGTGACAAAAAATAAAAATTGATGATTTACTTTCTCCAAAGAGTTCTGGTTAGGTAAGAAAAAAAAAAAATTTCATACTCTTTGAAATTCTAGAAAATTTCATGAAATTAGGCTTTGGCAGGGGGAAGAGTTGTAAAAGATGTTAACAAAATTTTTTACCAAGATTTTCTAAAAATAAAAATTTCAAATTTTCTTTTTGATTAAGTTCTGAAAGTTTCATTAAAATCAAACAATTATTTGAATTTTGCAAGAATTTCCGAATTAATGTGTTTTATCACTGGAAACTGCTACATAATGTCCATTTCCACAAGTTTTACAAAGTTGACAAAAAAAAAAAAAATAAAATAAAATAAAAAAATTTTTTTTACCCAAATTTAGAAAGTGTTGAAAAGGAGGAAAAAATTTTTTAAAATAATTAAAAAATAATTTGTTCTTTCCTCGTAAATAACAAACATTTTGACGGGAATTTTTAAAAATATGTACTAAATTCAGAGTAGAGTGAAGAAATGAACAAGGTACTTAATTTAAAAAAAAAAAAAAAAAAAAAAATAAACAGAAAATTAAGTCTTATTATTTTGTTTTATTTGTTGTAAAAAAGTTTGTGTTAACGTTTTACTAGCAAAAAATCTGGAGTTAAAAAAAAATACGTTTTTAATTTGTATGCACAACCAACCGAATAAACGTATAAGTTCAAATGTGTAAGAGAGCGAGATAAAAATCAAGTGCAGAAAACACTTTATGAACGGGGAATAAAAAGGCGCTATTACACTTTGCACCCCCCCCCACCTTGTATTTCGCCCTGTACTACACGTGGCTATCCTTTTTGCACTGCTTACATTCATCACTTCACGTACTTTAGTACTGTCCATTTAAAACCAAGAATTATGACTGGTGTTCAACGCATTCCCAATCAACAGGTTTTTGAAAACATCACCATTTTGAAGATTGGAGCACAGTTTTACAACAATATTGATAATTGCATTGACTGGTGCCGTAACTATGGTTTGCTAGCAGTCAGTATGGACTGCATTGCTTGCAACAGCCGTTGTAGAGAACAAACCTATTCGCGGTCGGTGGACAATAGGATTTGGAGGTGTACACGGAAAGCTTGCCGGAAGACAATAAGCATTCGGAAGGGAAGTTTTTTCGAGAAATCCCATTTGCACCTTTGGCAGATCATAGGTCTTGTGTACCAGTGGTGCACTAACTGTAGAAGAAGCCAACGACCATCTGTGGAAAAGCTAAGAAAGGACTTGGAAATTTCCAGCCCAAACACTGTGGTTGACTGGAATCAGTTTTGCCGTGATGTGTGCGTTGAGTATTTCGTCAACCACCCTCAGAGGCTGGAAGACCCCAACCATGACACTGTCAACCACACTCAGGACTTTGTGGATCCCAACACTGGAGTCACAACGAATCGAGTTGAAGCAATGTGGCAGCGTACCCAGGCTAAATTTAATGCCATGAATGGCCCCACCAACAGGGGGATGATTTCTGAATACCTAGCGGAATTTATGTGGGCTCAAAGGTTTGGGAATTCGCCGTTTTTCAACTTTTGGCATCAAATTGTCACTGAACTTTATCCGTTGTCACGGGAAAAACATGTCGGAGTGGGGTGCGAAAGTAATTGCGCAAAAAAAAAAAAAAATCATACCATAAGGCAATGGCGTGATTAAATATAGTCATTATTAAAACATTTAAGGATTTATTTTTGGTAAATGTATTAACGAAGACACTAGTTAGTAAAGTAGAGACCAATATGTTTACCAGATATCATTTTTTTGTATATTGAAATAAAATGTTTTTCTAGTCTAGTTTATTTTTACATTTCTTTCAATATGCAGAATATAACGACTGACAAAATATTTTAAAGAAGTGGGGAAATACAAACTAAACAGCAATAAAAATAAAAGAAAAAAATTATAGTTTTTTTTAAATAATTGTCTAGCTACTAGTCTAAAAAAGATGACTGATATTTATTTTTTTTTGCGTCAATCAATCAATATTCAATTTCTTTAACAAGAAACGAACGTACAAACTGAAGCAACTCCTGTATTATTAATCAAATTAATAGATTATAAAATATTAAGTACCTTTAAACTCCTCCACTTCGGTATCCTTCAATGGCTGGCTCATATTGTCAATTAATGAAATATAAAATTATAAACACAACCCGAACCGATAACACAACCATGCTTTCATATTCCCGCCATAATTATTCAGCGAGATTTCACGATACTTCATTGTTTACGTATTTGTAAGTTGACTTAATGTCAAACACTTGTTGCTTCACCAATAAATGTCAGTTTACCCTACATAACAGTTTGAAGACATATATATATCCAGTAAGAGGTGCTATATTTCTGGTTTCTAACGGGGTAGATAATAAAATCAAATTCCAGGGGACATCGCCCCCAGGCAGTACCTCTCCTTCCGAAGTGGGGCTGGTGGGCATTACCCGGCGTCCTAAACAAAATGGGAAATGCCGGTAGCGGGTGATTGAGCAATTTTTTCGAAAGCTCGCATTAGTTTCTGCTTAGCTTATAATAATCTAATTTTAAGCATACCACGTAAACAGTACTCGCCCCCACCACCACACATATTTTTTGTCATATTTTAAAATTACAAATTCATTTTTTTATTGGTCCTTTAATTCGTTTTTCAAAATAAAATACTTATTTGTTTTTTAAATTTATTTATCCTACCTATCAAAATACAGAAATAACAAAGACAAAGAAGAAATTAAGAGTTATATGGGGTGTTTGTTTGAAAGCCCTATGGTAGTTGTGTTTAGTTTACACTACAGTTTGTAACAATGCCCCTACGGTACTAACGTGGAAATTTGACTATCGTCCGGTTCGCACGCCTCCTTAGTCTTTTGAACAGTAGAGGTTTCGTTTCGGTTTTTTATCCCTTATTTCCTAGTATTGGGTTTCTGGTTTCTTCTATAAAATCACCTCGTTCTCTTTAACTCCCAGTAGCTCCTTGTGTCTTAGTGGCATTATCGCCTTCTTGCTTGAGATGAATTGTAAAAAAAAAAAAAAAAAAAATAAGTTAGGTGTATTTTTATTTTTACACGTGAGAACAAGTGAAATTGAATGAGTTAGTTTTACTTTTGTTTGAGTTTATCATCATCAACCTTGTGTTTGTTTTAGTTTTTGGTTTGTTTTAGGCCAACGTTCAAACAAAAATCCGGACTTTTATCTGGATTCGAACCCTGAGTTTTCATGATTATTATTACTGACGAAAAAGATACATTTAGCTTCACACAAAAAATATACAAGTTTTAATGTCTGCGTACGAAAAACAAGTGCTCACCTGTTGAAATGATTTGAAAAAGTGATTTAGCTTTTTTAAAAATATCATATTAGCAAAATAATTTTCACTTTTATATTTGTGAAAAAAGAAAGTAATCAACCTATAAGTAAAAGTTTAATGCACCAACCAGTGAAATCATAAAACACTAACTAAACAGTAAAAAAAAAAAAAAACCCGGTCGTACACATGATATGATGATGACATGACAATATTGACAAGTTATATAATATTGTTTTTGTCTGAAGAAAAAAAGAAAATTGTTAGAAAGCTCAACAGTAGTTGTAGCTGATTCATTGAGTGTTCTAAATTGTACTCTTAAATAATTAAATTAAAATAATTTTTTAAAATTATTTGATACTTATAAAAATAATTATATAACTATACGATGATTGATTATAATAAAAAAAAATACGTATTTATTGTTAGGAATATTTAAGTAGTTTCACCCCCAAGACGACGGTGCAAACATACAAGCGTGTTGTCCAGGAAAAAAAAAACTCAACACTTGGTTTAATATTTTGATTTTCTTACTACTTCTACTTCACGAAAAAATCGATAAATTTGGTACACCTCAAATATTGCAAACATTATGGCACTATTAAGAGCATTACGATACAGCCTAAAACCCGTTTTAGATTCTCGAATTCCGACAATGGCTCTGTACCATAAAAACGTAAGTGCGCAAAAATATGTTTACTTTGTAATTTGTCCTTTTTATTATGTAACATTATTTTTTTTAATAACTGCAATGTAATTTATTTTTTTCGTTTTTATATATTTTTGATGTTGCGATTTAATTTTATTACATTTATTTACATGAAAAATAGGGTAATTACTCTGAATTACTAAATCAACTTTGATAAGAAAAAAAAATATCCGGATACATGAAAAATAGTAAAATAAATAATTTTGAGATTTTTAATTAAAACCAACCAGGGTTATTGTAAACCTGGCATTAAGTAGGCTGTACGCATCAATGGGTTTTGATTTCGTAATCGAGTTACTAAACTTTTTGTGGCAATTGAAATAATAAAAAAAAAAAAAAGAAGAAAATTCACTCTTTTGTAAAACTGGAAAAAAAAAAAGATCTGTAGAAAGTTTGTTATGTCATTAACATTTATTTTTAAAAGAACAAAAAGATGGAAGAAAACGAAATTGTAAATGTCGTTCCAGAAAGAAAAAAGTGGTAAATTACTTTAATATTGTTAATATTGTGCGGTAAAGAAAGTCAACTTGCTGTGAATTGAGAATGCCTAACGATTCATTCATTTTTCAATTAGTGAATTTTAAAGTAAATTAATACTCAAATGTTAATTTAACAAACTCATTACTTTTTTAGTTTTATCCTGATAATTTTTAACTCTTTACTAGCACATCTTATGAAAAGTGTAGTTTTCTTTTAAAAAGTAAGTTGTTGAATGATAATGAAATTGTAAAAAAAAAAAAAAAAATCCAAAAAGCTAAGGACACAATATCCTTTTTGACTCTCAATGTTAAATAATACTTGACTTGATGTTTAGTTTCTATTATTATCGGAGAAGGCTCGATTATACATTATTCTTTTTTACTTGTTGATTTGGTGCTAAAAAATGTCTAGAGAGGATAACTTAATGGAACACTTATTTGAATTGAATATGGCACAGTGCCTAGTTTAAAGTGGGTGCCCCAAGTGTACACATCGAACAAGAAGAGTAAGTACTCCGTTCCCTTTTCCCTATTGGAAAGGCACAATGGATTAATTCTAGTGCCCTCCCCGACCCTTAGGAGTGATGCTGTTTGCGGAGACGTCACCTACACCTAGTGATTACCTTTTCTTTTTTTTTTTTTTTCTCCACCCACCCCCACTATGATTAGGGTTCTTTCTGGGTGGTGCCAAGAGCTGAATTATTGTTGAAATGAAATAATGTACACCTTTTAGAGCAGTAGAGACTTTCTAGAAAATAAAACTAAAACTAAGTGTTTAATATTAAAAAAAAGTAAACCGAAAAAAAATCATGTTAGTTTTTAAGTAATTTAAAAAATATATTATTTATTATCTTTAATTTTGTTTTAATTTCTTTAAAAACTGTATTTGGGTTATTTTTTGCGGAGGTGGGGGAGTCTGTGTCTTTCACCTGTTTAGAATCTTGCGACAGAAATTGATTTTTTTTTCTTGGCGATGTCATTTCATGACGTAGTTCTTTCTTTCTTCTTTCCTTAACTAGATTTTCTTAAATTCATCAAGTATTCATTCATTTCTTTATCTTTTTTCTTCATTTTTAAAAACTCGGAAATTTTGCTTATAATTCCCACACCTTCATATGAAATTTTAAATGTAAACTAAACATGGCTAAACATAAAAAATACATTTTTTTTTTGTAGTTTATCTATACTTTTTTTTTTTTACATTTTGTTTCATAAAAAGAAATTAAAATATGAAAAAGAAATATCTTTCTTTACTAAACTTTATTCTTTAATCTTTAGAGTAAAACAGAATAACAGAATAAAAAAGTAAAACCTACATGATGATAAATCCATTACATAATAAATTGAAAAAAATAATTTACTCATGTGAAGAGAGTGTAGTGTTACTCATCTGTTGATATATTTTATTGGTTGCATTTAGATTTTAGAGCTAATTATAAAATCTTGTAATTTTTTTTTTTCTAATATTTTAAATTATGAAAATATAGAACTTGACTAAATAAAAATGTTGGGCAACTTTAATAATCCTCCCTCACTAAAGTAGTTTTGGTGGGAGGATGTTTAAACATTTAGAATCCATCCGTGAACACAAGGATCTTATAACAATTTATCAAATTCATTAGTCATACATAGAAAAAAAAATTCAATTACAACTTCAATCTAAAGAATACCACACTCATTAAAAAAGAAAATAACTTAGACAGATGGTTCTTACAAGTGCTGTTATCATCCTTTGCCAAAATGTAAATCTGTGCCCTGGATTTTTCAAGTATCTCTTTTCCTAAAAGAAAGATATACCTTTTTCTCAAGCCAATATGCATGTCCACAAAAATTTTATAAAAATTAAATGAAAACAATTAAATCAAAACCTAATATTGAAAATAAATAATTTATCAAATTTAAATAATTATTACATAAGTAAGTAAAATAAATATATGTAAACAAATAAAAGAAAACCAAATTTTGACAACACTGTTTACTCACTTTCATTTATTCGGTATTAAATTACATCACTTAGCATCCTCCATAGTTTACCTTGACTTTCATAGCCTGAAGAATATTTAAGAGTTCTTAAATTTAAAAATTTCAAAAACCTAATGATATTTTACTTCTGTATATAAATACATATTGCAAAATAAAATCCTTACAACACATTCCAAGCTGTCAGTCTTCCTCTGCTTGTTGGGACCCTTTACCAATTCTTCAATGGTTATATCAAAAATAAATTTTGACCCTCTCTTTTTAAATGAGCATCTACAAGACTCTATGTAGTATGTCAGTAACACATCTAAAAATTGATGTATTCATAAGGGAATAAATCTGAGCCATATCTTTTAATAATAAATTAATTCCTATGTCATTTCAAGATTCCTTAATTTTTTCTAGCTTTCAAAATATCCTCCCAAAAAGACTAGTTGGAGGAAGAGGATGAAATGAAACAAAATATTTAATGCCCCCCCCCACACACACACTTACGGTTTAATAAATTTTTAAATAATCAAAGCTTTAATGACATGCTTATTTTACTTTGTAAATATGAAAGGCAGTTTTTAAATTAAAGGCCCATTTTTAAATATTACAAGGTGTGTGGAAAAAAATTATCATACAAAAAAAACAAAAAAAACACTAGCAAT